TGATTCCGATGTATCAGCAATTGGAAATAAATCTAACTAGTGCTCGGAAAAATTAAGTTTAATTGCAACCGCAATTCGTGCCAGCTGCAAATCCTGGATGCTAACTTTATCAGTCAGGCTGGAAAATTTTCCAGCAATCCCCGACTTGATTTAATAAGATCAAAGAATAATCTGCACATTTTTTGATGGAAACCCTAAAGTGACTTAGGCGGAAATCACTGCGGAATGTCCTGATTATTCGTTTATATCAGGAAAATTTAATACAAATTGAAGGAGCAAAAAGGAAGGAAAGATCAGATTTACATTTTACTGTGCATGTCAATGGGGGAGTGAAGAATAATTTTTATTATGCAAACCTGACAAAAAATGATTTTTTCATTTCCAAACACAATTATTCGTTTTATGACCCCATTCAACAACTTCCTCGTTGAAAAAGTTATGAAAAATCGAAGAGTTATTTAGGTTTCAAACTGTTTATGTAAAATGAAAGAGCAACATTTTTTTACGTAATTTCTAATTTACAATGTAGCTACCAGCGACCGTATTTGCAACGTTTAATTAAAAATTCTATTTGTCTTTAAAGGGCGCCAATGCCACGAACAGCGTAATTAATTGATAATACAGTGGAAAATCTCTAAAGAGAATTCAATAAAAGGTTAACTAGCAGCTAATAAATCATTCTACTGCAAAAAGTGGCAAAAATCGAAGCTCAATGGAAGGCAAAAGCCAATTGAATAAAAAAAAAGCAATTGGCAATTTGCTTTTTTGTAAATTTATCTGTTTTGAGCACGAATTTTGTTTTTTGTTTGTTGTGTAACATGACTGCTGAGATTCAACGTTTATTTTGCTTTTTAAATATTCAGCTCACGAAAAATGTATCTCTAGAGATACACTTTGTCGGTTTAAAACGGGCAGTTTTCGTGCTAAAATCGAATGAAAATGTCATCTAAGAAAATACCCTAAGACCTAAGGAATTGTGAACATTTGTGAAAAATTCCAAAGCAATTGTCCAGCGTCAGACTCACTGACAATCAAAAATTCAGTTTTTTTCGTTGTTCTCTAAACTGTCCTTTGTGGGTCTTAATACAGATTTAACGCAGATTTTGTTTTTTAAATATTCAGCTGAGGAAATTAGTAGTATTTTTAGTAGTTTGGTAGGGGCTGAAATCGAGTGAAAACACCATCTTCGCGATAATCTACGAAATTGTGAACATTTGTAAATTTTTTTTTTTATGTAAATGACTGTTTCGAGCACAATTTCAGTATATTTACCTGTTTCTGCAAGCAGTCCTTCACGTGTTTTAATTTTTTATATCCGCGTATTTTGCTTTTTAATTGCGACCAATAGGAATATGTTCAAATGCAAAAAATAAATATAATGCATCAACCAGTTTTTGCACCAACATTTTGCAATTTCCAACAACAATTGGAAAAGCCTGCCATCGCAAATAAACCAATTAAACGACAAACAAATCAAAAGGATTTTTCTAAATTTTCCATAAAACTTGATCTTTTGGTTTTATTTAAATTCAAGTAACCGGGACCAATTCCAAAGCTAAAAGTCAGCGTTTAAAACCAGTTAAAGTACAAAATACATTCGGAAAGAAAACATGTTTGTTAGCGAAAACTGAATTCAACGAGTTCAAACCCCAAAAATCGAGCCTCAAAAGAGAGAAATTGAATCAATTGAATAGTAATTTTTTTTAATTTGTTCTCTAAACATTTATGGGCCTCAATTTTACTCAACACCTACTTTTCTGTTTCGTTAATAACTCTGTTTTAAACAAAATTTCAGTTTTTTATTTGTTTCTTTAAGCAGTTTTTTAATTTTTCTTGTAGCGTGTTTTGGTTTCTAGTTGGAGCCAGAAGTGAAACAAAAATTTTCAAACGCGATAAATCAGTTGAAATAAACATCCAGTTTAAACATTTCTGAACAATTGGATTACTTGGAAAAATTGAATTACTTTGATCCTACTTAAATCCGAATAACCAAGTATCCGAAAAAAACCGAAACTAGTGAAAACACCATCTTCGCAAGAATCGTGAATTCAAAAAATTGTGAACATTTGTAAAAATTTGAGAAAAATAGTGTTCCTGAGAATCATTTATAAACGCCTCCTTAATCAATTATTAACGCCCGTCTTTTTTACGCCCTTTAAAATGTTTTTCTCGCGTATTTTGTTTTGTAATTGCGGTCAGAAATAAATAAAAATGTTCAAATGCAAAAAATCAATTGAGTGAATCATCCAGTTTAAAAGTGCTCGAAAATTGAATCTTTTCGAATGAAACAAATTGACAAACTGAAGTTTTCATTTGTTCTCGGTTCTGAACGGTTCAAAACCCAAAAATGTGAGCCTGCCAAAGCAACCAATCCATCGACGGAAACTCTTGGTTTAAATATGTGGGAAAAATTACTGGAAATTTGGTTTTTGCCACAGTCAAAACGAGGTTGAACTTGAAACAAGTGGGTTTTTCGGGTTTTTAGGCCGTCGTTCGGTAGAATTTCTTCTTGACGTTTCGCAAGCACGTGTGGCTTGCATCTTCAGAAGTGGTTTGCTGGAACGCTTACACTGTTCTGATGGTTTAAGCGTTCAAGCAAACCACTTCTGAAGATGCAAGCCACACGTGCTTGCGAAACGTCAAGAAGAAATTCTACCGAACGACGGCCTAAAAACCCGAAAAACCCACTTGTTTCAAGGAATGGCCTCGAAAGTCTATCTCTTTTGAGGTTGAACTTGAAAGATGCAACAAATAAACCTCCACTGATTTAATGGATTTCCAAAATATAATCAACTAACACGAAATTTTCCGTTTTAAACAAAATGCAGAACTTTTCTCTTGAAAGCAGACATGATTTTTTTTGAGCAAAGTGAAAAATAGATATCCAATTTTCTTCAAAACTTTATTTATATGAAATTTCCTGTCCAGGCTTCGAAGACACGAAAAGTACTTCGACAAGCATGCTTTTGGAGTTTTCTGTCTATTTGCCACGTACTTTTCTGTCTATTTTCTCAACTAGCTGAACTCAAGTTAAAATTTCGCTTTGAAACTGACCTTTGAGTTGATTTAAAGCCCTTTGTTATGCCCACGATGAGTAGCAAAAAGAGAATATCCGGGCAACACAATAGGTTTTATGGAAACAACAAAAAATAGTTTAAAAAATAGCACAAAGAACATTATGCGATTGGTACTGGATTAAAGTAAAATTGAGTCGAGAGTGGTTTTTTGGGTTGGGACACAATTGCTAAAAAAATGTAACTTTTCCCAACATTATCCCTTTTAAAAGTAATCGTTCGTTTAGTCAAGATTAGTGGAAAATCTTCGCAATAAATTCAGACCCTTTAGGAACTCAAATCCCTTAGTAGGGCTGAAGATAAGCAAAGCATAATTGTAAATAATAGTTTTCACATAATTGACCGCTATTGCCAACAGTGGAGGATCGAAATAAGAAAGAAAATTATCCTCATGCGTGTGCCACTGTAAGAGTTTTTCTAATGCGATTACATAAAACAATAAAATCCACCTCCAGTTTAAGTATTTATCTCGAAGAAACGCTCGAATAGAACCGGGGGCATTCTTAAGCGGAATTGCTGGCGCTTATGTTAATAGGCGTTCAGCACATGGAATTAAGTTGGGAAAAACCTGAACTTCCTGGGCCAGGATAATTGGACTTTATACTGCAGAGAAGTAGCAATTTATGGAATAGCAGCAAAAAAGCGCCTTCTTCAGCTTAATTTGATAATGCTTAGTAAAAAGCAAAGGAAAACAGTTAAACAATTAAGTGTTAAGTAACGGGATTAGTCTGCGAGCTTTGACCGAGCAAGCAATAGACGTTTCTCAGTTCGCTACTCATCGTGGGTGTTGCATCCGTTCCATTTTGTCTATTAATAAGATAGTGTTTTATCCCGCACTTGCAGTTTTCAGTTATAAACGCCCACAAGTCTAAACGGGAAATTTAGCCTGAATTAATAGAAAACTATAGTCTCAAAGGTTTCAGATCAGAAAAATACTCGCAAACCACCTCCGAAAGCTTCTTGATACAATAACTTGCTCTTCAAATAAGCGCTATTGAAAAATGACAGATCTGCTGGCGCTTCCATAGTTTGCAGCAGGATATTTGGCAGTGACGTCATTATTGGAGATAAAATATTTTCTGAATTTTATTGCGCTTTTCTGTCTGTTTCTTCTGGTTAAATCTGGCTTTGTATACAAGAGCATTTCATTTAAATCAGAAGGCGCTGGTTTGGTGTCTGAGCGCGCTCTTTTATCAAATCTGTAGCCAGCAAATTTGACGAACGAAAATCCAATTAAAATCTAGCCAGTTAAACGAATGCAATGTTCGCTGATCGCTCTGAGAGATCCCACTTTAATTAAATTTATCATCGAAAATTAGCATATACTCATAAACCGCCTCAATCCTCATCCTTCAATCTTCCTAATTAAGAGTACGGATCTTGCAGGTTTCCGGTTTAATTAAAGTTGAGAAATCGACCGCGATAAAAACACTCCCGCAAAAGTTGCCCTTTCGGTTTACCAGAACGACTTTTAATATCGGCGTCTTTAGCATGAAAAGGGCACATTAAGGAGAACTTTCGGATAATTCCCGCGACCTGGCAGAACTCGCTTTTTCAACTCAATTACATCATTTAGGAGAGGAACAAAGACCATCCGCTTACTATCTAGGTTGGCGCGAAACTTTACAAGCGACGGATTTATTAGCAAAAAACCGCCGACGATGATATGATTGATCTGGGCAAAGATGCTAAACAAACCCGTCGCTCAACGCACATCAGATATGTTTGCCGAGCGAATGAAACAATTTTGGAAAAGGGATATTGAGCACATATTTACACTGCCTTTCAGCTAGTTGAAAAGGCGACCTGGCAAAAGTCAGCCTAAACGCAAATAATCCACAAAAACTTTCCCAGATTCTTAACTGCTTAAATTACAGTTTCACTTTTTAATCACGGAAAGCAAGAGGAGTTCAACTGATAACTTACCGTTGTTGTTCCCATTTAAAAGCGAGGCGGCGGACGTAAGGCCGACGCGCGTTCTTCGTAAAATCCACAACATGACGCCCTTCGAGACGCTGAGACGCACTGGCGAAAGGGCGGCCGTCGCGACGCCAAATCACCAGGTTCAAACGCCGCGTGGTGCGCCGCGTTCATATCGAACAGACGAATTCAAGTTCACCAGGTGCTCTGAAAAATCATTAAAATGCTTACAGGTGGGCATTTTCACAAGATACACATAAAAAAATTGACTAACTAAGGCCTCTAGACTAAAACCCTTTTAACACCCTGTAAAGGTCAGCTAAAAGAGCTTGACGATCATTTACAATTTCCAAACAGATGCGAAGGAAAACTTTTCCAAGAACCAGCTGTTACAACCTTTTTATATGAAGCTTTATGCGGATATAAAATATATATCAAGCGGGCCTTAGGGACAATAAATCGATTACTTTGTTGGTGTGTAGTTGGATAAATCTAGAGCTGGCGCGGCCTTTGCAAAAGAACTGATGATGAGGATTACGAAGAGCAATGGACAGAACGGCAAGACGAAGGGTTAAGCCCCAGTGGCCTAGCAAAGGAAAATATCATGTAACAATCGGGCAAAGTAGACAATATCAGGATTAAATTCAATATCCTTAAGTTTGCTCATAGTATCCAGATAAAGGTAAGGGGCAAATGCCTTGTTAAGCGTTTTTGAATAATTAACTACGGAGAAGCCTTCCATGTCTCTTTAATAAGCAGGGATGCTCAAATCCCTCAAATCAGTTTTAGGCGGAGGTCTAATGTGGGTGTAAACCACTGGAAAGTATCCTGAATGTATGGGTTTTTGCTAGTAAGCAGGGATGAATTTGAAAGTAGGGTAAATTGCGTGCGAATTTGCCCATTGCTGAGTTGAATTCAAACTAGTTATCTTTCAAACTGAGTTTGAGCGCATTTTTTCTTTGGTCGATATCCACTTCTACTCGAAACAGCCAATTATGCAATATAGAAAACTCGTTGAGTCCTTGTCACACRCAGTTTTATACGCAAATGTTCCGAAAATATTTWCCGGAAAAGGGGRAATTTCATTAACAAAGTATACTCAGACCAAACCAAATGGCAGTTAAKGAAAAAAGGCACTTACATTCATTGGAAATATATYGATTCTATYATGTAATCGGTGAATCTCGTTAAGCAAAGTGATTTAGTATGAACTTTCCAGCCATTAGTTTTTCTTGTAGATGGGCTTAATTTTTTCTAATGTTAGTTAATGTCTACTGATAACATTCTTTCACTACTTGCAGTTTTTAGTTATTTTATCATTAAATTTTGAAGRAAAGYGATTCTTTCTGCATCTTCATCGAAGATTRTTTTTCAAAGWGCCTCTAAAACSCCCWGTATAACGCGGAATCAGTYCCCTTTTRCGCGTCACAKATTTTWTAACTAGGCAACCTTGCAAAAAATTTAAGAGTTTTTAAAAATGTTTCCTTGGAACACCCTGTATGTTGAGCAACGCTAGAAGAGCGAATATCGAATTAACATTGTTGCAGAGAAAGGGCTCAATTTGCAATGGTCCAAGTTTATTTGAAAGTTCGCAATTCCCAATTGGATTCAACTATCCGTGGACATAAAGTTTAAATTTTTCTAGCATATGATATTTCTTTCTTCTTCAATTTTTAGGCACGCAGACGAACTTTGCAATAACTTCAGAAGCTTTAATGATGTTAAAAAATTGTAGGTGCACTGACTTAATTCCATTTTTAATTAGACTTTTTTTCATATTCCAGTCATTCAAGCTATCAATAATTTTTCTATCAATAATCTTCCTTGTCTGCTAGTTAGTTTTTTCGCTTATTAAAAAATTAAAGAACTAAATAATTTCTCGCAATAATAAAATGCATGTAGAATCAAGCAAATGATGTTTTCTTAACATATTTTGCATGCATTATTCGCCGAGTAACAGGAAAACGCAGACATTTGTCCCAACAAAAATGGTTTCGAATGCAAATTTTACAGGTTTTATGAATTATTTATGCTGTTATTCTCGTCCCCGACAACCAACAAGATTCCACTTGCAATATTTTCATGATATTAATGTTTAATCAATATTTGTTCTGCAAATGTTATCGTTCGTTAAAGGAAACTCTGTTCTGTATAATGTTGCTCGTTTTACTCAAATTGTTTGAAATAAGTAGGTGAAGTTACACAATGTGACCTAAATAATATAAAATTAAAAACTGTATTTTATGATGAAAAAACCAGCCATGTTTCCAGTTCAAGTTCAGAACAAAGAAGTTATTTTACTCTACCAGTACAAGAAGTATAAGAAGTACCAAAGGTACCAAAACTTTGAATTATTTCATACACTGGCAATTACTTAATTTTGATTAAAAAACTAAATACATGGAATTTCCGCTTTGTCACTCATCTTTTGGCATAAGAAAATTCCGTTTTCTTTTAAAACGAGGTAGATAAAAGATTTACAATAAAAGCAATTTTCTTAAGCGGAAAACTGTCCCATTTCAAGTGGCGTAGAACTCAGAGGCAAAAGCATCTCAAACAATCGCAAAGTGTACGGCACTGGTATGACAAAATGTGACTCAACGCAACTAAAAGTAGCTAAAATTATTATTTCAGTACTCTGTATAATACTTTCAGTATTATATTTCAATATTATTGCAGTCATATTTCAATATTAATTAATATTAGTACAAAACTCGAGTTAGTTGAAAACATCGAATATGGCCTAAAATATAGCAGCAAATCAAAAAATATATAGGGTTTGTTGTATTTCGGCCTTTTAAAGTAAGAGTATTTTTCTGTATTTTTATGATTTTATTATAAAGTAATTGAAAAAAAAATTAATAAATGCCATTCTAACTCTAATAACCATTCATCCGAAGAAAACTAAATACGGTGCTGAAAAAATCAGAAAACTAATAACTTTTAATTAATAAAAACGTTTGTTCATCAACTAATGGAATGAAAGGATAGGTAAATACAACGACATTAATAGATTAATAAATAATAATTAATCTGAGCGTATATAAATTGTTCGAGAACTAGTTTAAAAAAACGCTTTAAAACTCTCTTGGAACGTTTGCAATTAGAGGGGAAACACATGAAAAGTTCTTGCTTCGATTTAAATATCCATAGAAGAATCATTCTTGACTCTAGTAAAAAGTTAAGTCATTCGTCTGGAGGTACTTAGTAAGTAAAAAAACTAGTAAGAAAATAATTGCAAATTGCCCAAAAAACACCAAAAAGAAATTGAGCAGCGATACAATTGATGCGAAACAAAGGTAATAGGTTAAATGATAATATGAAAGACTGAATTGACAAAAAAGTATATTAAACATATTTTAAAACAAAATAATAAAATACCAGTTTAATATTTAAATACACCTAATTATTGAACTATTTTAACAGACATTCATACGATTTATTACAGCGCTGAGGTTGACCAACCTAAATTCATAGACAACCATTAGAACTGAATAAAAAACAATAACAAAGCGAACCTAACATACGACGCCCTACATTGACTTAGTTAAAAAAACAGACGATTGTTTAACATAGGCGTCCAGCTTAGTCTTAAACAGTTCAGACTGTATTGGCTCATTCAAGTTGCATAGGGGATTCTTTACTACGTATTCCACAAAAATCTAAAAAACAAAATCGACATTTTAGCAGCACAGTTTAGCAGCAGAGCAAGAGCAGAGCAGACCTTTCTGGCACAGTATAGAAATATACATGTTTAAGTATTAGCTGATGTTTATTATAAAACCCCCTGATTCAATATGATCTATAAACTATAAGGCCTAATTCAGGAATTTCAAAAGAAAATCCATATTTTCCCTAAGAGGGCTGGATGTGATAGCGTGTGGCTCTTACCTCCTTATAAATTTGTTGGAGAAAATCTCTAACTCCTTGCGAGTGATTGTCTGTGTTCAACACAAATTTTAAACCTGATGGGGTCTCTAAGAAGTGTAAGGTGTATTTTGAGGTTTTGTAATATAAAAATCCCTCTTTCGGATCAGTTGGGGATATTTTATTCACAAAAGATTTGAGGGAAAAGAGCATTCCATACATCAGTTTTGCCTCCTGTAAGCAATAACATATGTAACTAATGGAGTTGAATATCGCTATATATCAATTGCAAGGGAAGTTTATGAACAATTGAACGTTTTATCCCATTGAAACAGCTTAATTTCCAGTATCCTTTAAGATAAAAGCAAAAAAGTGGTGTTTACCTCTTCCTTGGTCATTCCAGAATTTTTCAACCGATTCCAGTCTTGATAATACAGCAAGGTGCCCATTCTATCAAAAATATAAATGTTGTGGACCGTCATTCTAGCAAAAGAGTCCGGGGAATTAAGTTTCTGGAGTAATTCAAACTGTTTTAAGACTGGAACATGGAACGACTGGAAATTAAATATTGTTTGTAAACTTTAGCGCTGTCAAAATCAGCTTTCAGTTGTCAACCACAGAACATCCCCCTAAGGGGATGTGATGTAGTTGACAACTTGCAAATCTGAGCGGGCGATGGTTCCAAGTGACGTCACAAAAAGCTTTTAGATTATTTTATTGGAAGCATTAAATCCAAAATTCAAATTTTTGCTAAAAATACGTTGAAACCATAGTTGGAAATCAAACAATGCCTCGATTTGTATTTTTTATTTTCACCAGATCAAAAAATCGCTAAGGAAAAAATCACATTACACACTGGGTTGGTATTTATAAAAGTAATAAAATATTATCCATTGGCCTATTTGTCTGATACATTGTGCTGTTCGAATAAACCGATAATGTAAAAATTCCTTACTGTGCAGCCAGTACAATCTACAATATTTACTAATACACAGGGTGTTCCAGAATATGTTAGTATTCGGATAGAAAACAAGAGTTATGTGACACCCTGTTTACTTTGATTTTTTTATATTTACTATGTCCATCTGCTTTATCGCTGAACAAGTGGTCAAGTCAGATGCAATACTTGGTTAAACAATAATTAGTTGGATCTATTTTCGAGACTAAAAAATAATTATGCAATTAATCAAAGTAAATTTTTGCTAAATTAACTATTAACATTTTTCTAAATCACTCAAATTATTTCGAAAAATCCACATCAAAAACAATGTAGTAGAGAAAATGTTCTAATATCACCCCCATTTAAATAGAAGAAAGAACTTGGTGCTCTAAAAATCATTCCACTTGAAGAATTAAATAGATCTAGAACACCATAATAAGTCTTCGAGACTAGATACGGCAAAGTAAAAATGTGTTTGACTATTCTTGACTCAGGAGAAGACTACTATTCTATAATAATCATTGTAATCATGGGAGTAGTCGCGCTGACTTGTTGTATTTATCAACAAAATTTTCCCGGTTTTAGCGCGAAATCAGTCTTAAAGGGTTGATAAGTTAGTCAGTGCCGAAATATTTCTGTCCAAAGTGGTTCGGAGCCACTGGATGCACTTCGGATGTTAGGATTTTCATCTGAAACAGTTTTCAATAAGGTCAAATTTTTAGACGCCGAGAGATTCCGCTTACTTTAGGATACGAGTCTAAAATGGTTTGGACAGCTTGCGGTGTACAGAACAGATTACTTAGGATTATGCATTCTTGCTTAACTCCATGCTCCTTCAGCACGTTCACTGCCTTGCTTACTGTGTTGCCTGTCGACATGATGGGATACATCAGCAAAACCTGGATAATTTCCACTATTAAACTCGGCTAATAAAGGGTGACAATCACTCACATGTCTTCGAGAAATATCGTCTGGAAACCGAGCATAAACCACTCTGGCTTCGTGCGTATCTGCATCAGACTCTACGAGGATTTTCCCTATCCGAATGCTCCTACAACAGTCCCTTAGACCTTGTTCCATGGATTCTCCAGACCTTACAATAGAAACTCCGCAGTTTCCAGATTTATATTTCAGGCCTGAAATCAAGGAAACTCTCTATCAAGTTTTCCGCAAAGGGATTGCACAGTATCCACCATTATAAGTTGCACTAGTGGGTGTTATCACGTTGCATTCGGTGAAGGGCAGCTGATTTAAACTCTCCTCTATCACAAGGCGGATCAGACGATCCGCGTAGAATTTGAAATCGCTTCGTGTTGTATTTCTACGGGAATATATTACAGGTTCAAGTGTCAATCCTCTCAGGTTCAATTTGATTTGATCGAGATTTTCCTGAATAATTCAAACAAATATGTTGAAAACATGTGCCTCTACCTGTCTCTTAAGATGGTCTGCAGCTCTTTAATCTGGTCATTAGCGGGCAGGAGCTTCAAACTGGGGTAGTCCTTGCAATACTCAATTCCATTGGTCAGACTCAATTCAATACCAACACTTCCCATCCTCAAAACAGGTCAAATGCTGTTAAAATGCTTCTTTACTTTCGGCACCTGGTCTACTGGCAACATGAAAATGCGAAAATTTTAGGTTAACATCTCATGTGACTGAGAAAAAGTTGCCAGTCAGTTGAAAGGGTCATAAAAGCCATTATTTTTCGTTATATCAACACCCACGTCTACTCAATATTGGACTTATTTAGCTCAATATCGTCTTGTTGATCCGCACAAGGACTCTTTCCTAGTGTCCTTTGGATCAGGATATACAGGGTGATTCAGTTTCCACCTGGAATATGAAGGAAGGGCTTGCACTTAACTAAGAATATGTGCAGAATATGTTCGTTTGTGGCAGTCTTACGTGAGTACGTGGTGAAAAACAACCTACAAGGGGATAGTTTTTAAAATGCCTTTAGTGTATACACGATAATGACGACAAATATAACAATAACTATAGTGACGACAAATTGAGAAATATAGTATTTACCAAGGATTTATCATTTTAAAATTTGTCCTTCACTTTTTTGTTTTGTCCCTCGATGATAAACACATTTACGACACTTAAAAGAAAAATTTCAAATCCAAACGCGCCAAAAATATGGAAAAACTCCCAGGTTAATCGTCATCTGGCGAAGCAACTCATTACGTCAGTTGAAAGCCGCTACTTGTCTTTATGGTAAGCAGTAAACAGAAAACATAACCAAATTTCTCTAAACTTTTCCATTTAGTTCTTATTAGAGTAATTTATTTAACTGGAAAATGGACGAAGCTCGAACTGTTTGGGTCGGTAATATTGGGGACCAAGTGACTGAGGAATTGCTCTACGAAATTTTTCTACAAGCTGGACCGCTGGAGAGGGTGACGGTTCGAAGCCACCAAGGCGGCACTGGCTTTGGATTTGTTACATTTAAGCATGAGGGCTCCGTTCCATACGCTCTTCAGCTGTTTGAGGACCTACAACTGTTCGGGCTCAATCTGAGCATTAAGCCTAGAGTAGGGGGCGGTCAGAGCAGGCAGAATTCCATGCGAAGAAGTGGAGGTGGTGCTCAATCAAACGAACATAAGAGGTGAACGCTTTGAGCTATTCAGTCTCTCTTAACAAAATAACAAATTTCAGTCAATTTAAATTCACTACTTTTGCATCAGATAACAAAAACGGAGCTATAAGTATCCCACTGATCTAATTGGAGACAATGATTTTTGCCTTTTTCTTTCCAATAGGACAATTTGCAAAGGGAATTTTTATAAGAAATTAAGAATTATAAGACACTTGACCAGGTGTAAGAAGAACACACTACCCAGGAAATATTACTTAGATTAAACCTAATAAAGGTTCATAAATTATACATCCGCAAAATCTTGATTTAAATGGGATGAAAGGTTTTTAAGTTAAAAAAAATTGACTCCCTGAATCGATAATTAATTCCTAAGACTTTGCTAATTCAGCTCTAAAACCCCTTGTATTTAGTATAGTGATTGACTATTTAGCCTGTATTGCATAGGTTCGAGTCGATGGATTTAGTGAAACAATTAGACTTGGAAAAGCTGGGCCAACAGATGAATGTTGGATATTCGGATTATCCAGAATCATATGACGAATCTGTCGGCTACAGTGATATTTCTAATGGACGAAATACATTTGTTGACGAAGATAGGGAAAGAAGTTATCGGCATTTCGATAGACCGACACATGGTAAACAGCATAGGAATGATCAGAAGACGCACCACAAAAGGGAGAATTATAACAGGAACAGGGGCAGGAGGTATCCGCCCTATTAGGGGGTTTATCAGCATTGTATATATGTATAATAGTTTTTTAATGCTCGGAGTAATGTCGGAGTTATACATAAATGCCATGTTGATAAGTATTTTTTTAAATAAAATATTTAAAAGTTTTATATTTTTGCCTGTTTACTCAAATTTAAGCGGGTATATAAATTTCATTTTTTTATAGTGATAGGAGAAACTAAGACAAATATTTACATTAAAAACAAATGTTTTTTCTTACCTTTTATGTTTTATACTGAAAGTTTGAGCAACATTTAATGTAACCCATTTAGTTTTAGACTGTTTAGATTTTTAAGAGTGATTTAAAGCAATTGTGCAGTGAAATTAAAGCAATAAAATATAGCGATTTTTTTGTTTATCCTTTAAGGGCGTGGTTTTTTAATTAGGGTGCCCTTTGCAAACTACTGCAACCACCCGCAAGATGGCACGGCACTACCAAGAAGGTTCAACCAGTTTGTATAACTGTCAGGCATTTGTTTATGTTTACATTTACTTTATAGTGTTTTTTCAATATTATGTTTTTATGATAATCAATATTCTCAAAAGGAATGGTTAGTGTCTAAGCATTATTTTTTCATTATTCGACACTTGTTTTCATCGGCAAAGCTTTCGCTTTGTAATGAAGCAAACAAGTTGCTGCTTTCCTGCTTTAAACCTCTTTGAAAGTGACTATGAGTGAATCGGACGATACAGACGATTTGTTACTTATTCCACCTGATTTCTTTCTAGTGCAATCTGAACCAGAACCTCCCTATTTCGGCATTGTAGATAGCTTAATAAAACAGGTATGTCCTTTTAGTCAATCCACAAATCCTAACCACATAGTTGTGAAAGGGCCCATCCAGAGTTTATGCTCAATGTTGATAAGGCCTACGCATGATAAACAGTTTTACATCGATAATAGTGCCAACGGATGTGTGATTTATCAAAAAATACAACTTGTGTAAAATAAACACTTATTAAATCAACTTTTTTTAAAATGCTAGTTGTTCAAGTTTGCTCTATACATTTTTGCTAGCAGGACTCTCAGATTCGATAGAGGGTCGTATTTTAACTTAGGTTTGTCATATCAACATGTCGGTAAAGGCCTCCTTTTTGAGATAGAGGGTTTGAAAGTTTTAGCTTTTTACTTCAGTCTTTTCCACCCAGCTTCCGTAGTTTTTGTGATAATTTACGCAAATTTGTGCACCGTATTATCTACGAAGATCCACAAGTTTTTAAATAATGTAAGCAAGTAGCGTAATGCTCTTTGTCCTCTAAAAAAGTCCGTTTTTACCATTCAGAAATGTTTGTGCTGCATTTCTGGTTGTTTACTTGCAAACATTGGGGTTCCGCGTTCAATTTGAAATCTTTTCCCCGAGTAATTTGCTAAAGGCTCTGAAAGAATATTTTATTAAAATTGTATTATTTATAGAATTTTCAGTAGGCAACTGAAATCTGAACCAGATTTACAGCCGCTGCTGGCGCAATTTTACCTAACTGAGTCTGAATTATTATTAACTATCTTATTCGTCTTCCATTCTTCAAAGCCTTACGCGGATAATCAAAACTGCAACTAAGCCAAAAATATATTCACGTCAAATTGCGCTTGCATTAACCGTAAGTTTAATTCAGATTAATTTTTTTAAATTTTTGGTAAAAGCATAAAAAAATGAAGCGTTTTTGCATTATTTTATATGGCAAACTTAACTATCTGAACATGAATAAAGAAGTTAAAGCGGATCAGTGTAAATACTATTAACTGTCTTTACCCTGATTAACAACGTATTTTTATTTCTTGGTTTATAATTTAAATCCTCCCAACACAAAATCGAGCTAACTTGTTCCACAGGTCTCAAATCTGCAAGATCGTATTGAAGGCATAGAATCCATGTCAGATGTGAGTTTAAGTAGCCACATAGTCCAATTGCCTGATTTAGAAAGTAGCCCGAACATGTACAAGAAGCAGCCGAATGCTAAAAGGTATTACAGTCACGATGATTTGTATCAGACAGTCAGCTCTCAGACTACGCCTCAAAAATCCACTGACAAACTCAGACTCAGCTCACTGCCAAATACACCAATCGCTGCCCGATTTACTCCGAAGAAGAACACGGTCAAGTTCAGCCCGCCTCATCAAGCCTGTAAGTCGAAAATTGGCAAAAATCCCCTACTAAAAATACTTAACAGTATCTTAGTTAATGAAGCAGATTTCTTGTTCACACAAACATCAATTTAAGTCTGAAGAATGGTGAACTTTGGACAGCGTTAATTTAAAAAAGCGTCAGCTTTAAGCAGAAAATAATGACTTGATTGCAAGGTGTTTTCTGAGAAAGAGGCTTCGTATCTATAGGGTGTTGAAAGTAAATTGCATTCACTGCAATGGTCAGAGAAAATAATCTGAGACAAAAATTTCGCTATTATAAAAATAACAAAAAATGCGTTTGAATTTAGTCACACGAACCAAATCGAATACATTTATGTCCGACAAAAATTGAAATGCCGCCGGAAATTAGCCGGCACTTCTGGTAATTTTTTATTTTTACACTTTGTTGTTGTAAATCAGCAAGCAAGCATTTTGAGCTTTGTTTATAGAGCAAACTAGGTTTATTTTCTGCAGTAAAATGCGTGGTTAAACAACCACCCTTTTCTCATAAAAAATCCTTGCATTCTCTGGCTTCATAAATACATATTTCAGTGCCAATACCTTCAGCTAAAAAGCCAATCTCTGGGGATACTGAAGTACTACAGGAAATAGACACTTTCATCTCAAACGTTCAGGCTATTAAGAGAAATCATGCTGTACGAAACTTGGAAAATACTTTCAGCCAAATGGAAGCTTCCAATACTAAAATGACGACGGAAAATGGTCGGAAATCCTCGAATCAAGATGAAGAGCTGCAAGAAACTATCCGTCAACTGGATAGGCACTCAGAGAAGATCGCGGTTGAAAAAAGGCCCAAAGCTGATGGTCTTGTGCAAGAACCCATTGGCGAGGTAAATGCCTGGCAATGTGGGGATAATATTAACAGTGTACCTGAGTATGGAGCAGGTGGGTACATTAAAGCAAGTGTAGAAGAAAAGCGACGTTCACCTTTGAAATCAACAGGATTTAGGAATCAGCTCTATAGCCAAAAGGAAGCCAAACACCCCTATTCAAAGTTCACTTTAACTCAGCCCGAATCCACGACTACTGATTTAACTTCAACCAATACCAGCTTGGAAAAGTCGCTCGATAGCAGTTCAGATTCAACTCAGCTCACAGCTTACCATAAACTGACGAGGAAAGAAGGACTTGGCCAATTCGCTACTCAGCTACAGACCGAGCACAAAGAACCAAGCATTCCAAATTTCAAAGTATGTGATTTTTTTTGCATAAAATCTAGATTTCTTTATTAATTAACATTATCGAAAATGTTTGCTTTCAGAAATACCCTCCACCTTTTGATGCCTCTTACAATGATGTCTACAAGATTGATCAGGAAAGAAATGAGCTGTTGCATAGTCCTTTGCACGATAACGCCCTGTCCATCCTGAATATGCATAAGCAACTGTTGGAAAATTCGAAAGTGGCTTCAAAGGACGAACGAGTACCCAAGAAGCGGTAATATTGGCACCACAAAACAATTCTTGAGCTGCAGTAATTTTTTACAGCGGTATTAATACTTTAAGCAACAACATGGGCCTTTTGAGCTTAGCGGATATTTGGGACTCGAATCGCGTCTCGCAGAGCCCGAGCAAGCTGACACAGAAAATCCAAGAGGAGAGATTGAGACGACAGGTTGCTAAAGCGCAAAAGTCTAAAACGTACTTTAACATACTTAGTTTACATTTCAGCACTGTGAGCAGCTGATTCAGGAATTGCAGTACACAAATCTAGTCTTCCAACAGAAGCTGGCAGTGGCTGTTAAGGTTGACGAAACCAAAAACAACACCATTCAACAGTTTAGAGACGCCCTAAATTCATTGTCTTCAAAGCTGGAGAAGCTCAACGAAGAAAAGGCTTCATGGGATCGAGACGTGGCGCGATTGAAAAATGACCATTCCATGGCTATGGAGTCTGCTAGTCAAGTTAGTAACCGCAAGTTCGCATGATACTATAAATATACACTAATCCACCGCAGAAAGCTGCCTATTATGAAAAAGACGCCACTAGAAGCCGAAACGTGCTGCATGCAAATCAAGAAAAAATCTCGGCTTTGGAGGAAAGGTGTTCGCAGCTGCAACATCAACTTAAACAGATCGAAGAAAAATTCGGCGAAGTTCAAGAAAACTACCAAAGAGAATCAACTAGAAACCAACAGCTTGCTGATATCATCAGCCAAAAGGAAATTGAGCTGAAAGAAGTGAGTTCTATTAAAGCCAGCAATTGTGTTGATGCTACATAAAAACTTTTCAGAACAAGAGCGTTTTAAGTATAGCACGTGACGAAGTCTCACATAGCCGGAAAGCTGTGGAAGTGTGCCAAGCTGAATTTACAGCCCTAAAAAACGAGTGTTCGAAACTCAAGACTGAACTTAGCGAGGACAAATCTACGATTTTAAATTTGACTGAACAAAAACGTAAAATTCTTAACGATATTCAAACGTATAAAACCAACGAGGTGAGTGCACGACATTCATCAAAGACTTAAATAACACGTTGAAAACACTTCAGAAAAACCTTAAAGATGCCTTGGAAGAGTCCAAGTTGAAATTAGACAATACGAAAGTGGAACTGCGAAACTTTTATCAAGGACAACTGGAAATTATAGTGGAGAATAAACGGAAGGAGATGCAAAGCCAGCTAGACCAGCAAAGACAAAATGGTTTGGAAGAAATAAGCAGAAAGGAATTGTCCATGGCTAAAACGGCGGCAAACCATATAAAGGAAATATCCGACAAGTACGTAAACAAGCCTTTAACGAAATTACCCAGGTCTGATGTGGCATATTTTAGGTGCGCCTTGGAAATTAAGCTACTGGAGCAAAAGCACCAAGAGGAAATGAAATTATATCAAGCGCAGCTCACGCAAAAAGACAAGACAATCGAAAGTTTGCAAGCGAAAGTCGCCCAATTGCCAGAGAAACGAGCGCAAATCGCCAAACAACTTCAGAAAGCGATGGAAAATCAATGGAATGAAGCTCTGAAAATGATCAGTGGCGGCTCTACACCGTTGAGCAATGATCAACAGGTATAAACGAGAAATCAATGATTTTTAAAATAAACTTAAATTTCTCCTCAGGGGTTTGCGGGCACAAATCCACTGTTTCACGCAGTGGCCGACAGTGGCCAGCTTCATAAACAGTTGGAAAGCGCATCGGATTACGATGAGACTCCCGTGTCTAGTCGAGGGGCCAAACAGTCTGAAAGTGAAATCCAGAAATACATCAATATGGTAAGTAGTTTAATTTGAGCCTTTTCACAGAGACGCTCTAACTAAAACCTTTAATAAATAACTGAGGACAAAAGTTCGGGTTGCGGTTCCGAAGTACATATACATGGTGCTTTCTATTTAGGGAACCCATTTTCTAGTTTGCGTTGTCAACAAGGTTCCGGCAACTCTCGAGAAGCTCGTCAGGTTCTACGCAATTTATATTTCAATTTTGTAGTTCAGAGGCTAAATAAAATAATCTGCGAAAATGTTTTTCTCTGGGACTGGGGGAAAGTAATTGGAATACTTCGATCACTTGTTTTGAGTTACGAGAGTGAACGTGAATCTTGTTTTGCAGTTGCTAAACAGACCTCCAGGAAATCCCGTGACCGAACCGCAAGACACCAAAACAACGCAAAGTCAAATGAGATCAACCGGGAGTCAGGGTGTAAGTATGTATTGCCCATTTCTCTAGTAATCAGCGAATATTTCAGTTAAATGGTTGTAATAAGTGCGATTTTCAGGAGCTCGAAGGCCAAAGTAAGGATGAATCGCGACAATTCAGAGACAGAAAAACTGGCAAGCCGCCTTGGAAATAACGTAAGCAATATTTTGTACAATTTACTTAGGTCTCAATGTTTATATCGACTTTATTAAAAAAAACTGAGATTCGAAATGGTCTTTGTGTGAAAGTTTTGCCAACATTTTGCCTATGCTGGATTTAAATCGTGAAACGTGAGTTAACCAGTATGCGTGAAAATACCAAGAAAAAAATTATACAAACTGCTGTTTTCAGAGCGCCCAAAGCTTTGTTCTCATCGAAAGTTTTAACTCTCTTTATCCATATATTGTGTAAAACTGATAAATCTTGCGCGAAAGAACAAGAGAGGGCTTTTTGAACCTGCTAGAAGAAAAATAAATATATATGCAGGGTGGTCCACTTTCTAAAGCGAAAATATATTCGCAAAACGTTTCGTTAAGGATACCCTGCATTACCGTATGTGTAAGTTTGGCTTGAAAAAAATTAATTTATCTGCTGCCAAACGGCCAAGGACATTTGAACGAATTTTTGCAGAAGACAACGAAGGAGCTCATTTTGCAATAAAAACAAAATTTTTGTTTTGTGAGTGGCGCCCGTATATAATGAGAAAGGAATGAGACAACTTTGAATAGTTCATATTAAAAAAAATAACTTCTCAATTTCTTTGTGCAACATGAGTAAAAAATGTTTTGACCTTGGATTTCCACTGATTGAATTTGTAACTTTTTTATGTTACAGTTTCATCAAATGACTATTAGCTTTTTTATTTAGAAATTTTATTATTTGCAAAAAAAAGGTTTTTCTTCATTCAGTTTGCAAAAAGTTATTTCTATTTTATGAAAAAACAGCTTTTTTCATTGAAAACGTTCATTAGCATGTTAATACGAACGACACTCATAAAACAAAACAAAAAAAGTTTTACTGCAAAATGTGCTCCCTCTCTAGAGTTATCGTCCGCAAAATACAGTCGTTTGGCAACAATTAATAAATTAGGTTTTTTCAAGCCAAATTTAAACATCCTGGACTTTTTTCAAGTCAAAAATGTTCAAAAATCCACGGCCGTTTGGCAACGATTAATACATTAATTTGTTCAAGCAAAAGTTAAACACTCGGTATTTCCTTAACGAAGGATTTCTTGAATATAGTTTATGGCACTAACATTTTTTTCCATTGCACAAGTTATAAATTTCTTGTTGGTTTCGGGAATGCGCTGCACTAATAATTCATTGCGACTGAAACTAGACCTCCCTGTAGATTATTTGCGCAAAATTCGGTTATTGAAATTAGGGGTTTTAAAATAATTTAAATTAAATTGCACCATCTGACATTTTTATTCAATGCAAAAAATTGTGTCCGTATTAACACAACAGAACAGGAAAAAAAACGGAACTCTTTTATAACAAACGTTGAAGACCAAAAATTACTTGCAAGTTGTGTAAATTGAATGTTATATATTTACACTGGTAATTCCTAGTTATATAAAATGGAAAAAAAAAGAAACTAAGTAATATCAAGTGTTATTTTAACTCTACAAACTATAGAACAGACCTTACAAATACATATAAATAAGAAACAAAAATACATTAGGTGGTATATAAAACTAAAAAACTACAATTCGAGTGTGCGCGGCCGCTGGTATATGAAATTAGAAAAGTAGTTTCGATTTTCCCTTCCAAATTGCGATTCACTAACACTGAGCAGTCTCACGGAATGGCGAACTTGTCAGCATGTTTACTTTGGAGTCAACTTTTTCAATAGAAATGAACATGCGACGTGCTCAAAGCAAACAACCCATCAAGTTTCCATAGATGTAAAAAACCGGTTCACAGAACCAAGACAGTCCATCGTCTCGTCAGAGCACGGGTAGTTGTCCACCCTGTATGTATGTATTTATGTATTTTTCACTACTTCGATCATCTATACACTTTAACTGAAATAGGTTACGCGACAAATTAAAAAAAGCATGTTTATAATATACATTTAGTCTCCATCTATCAAGAATTCATCAACCACAGTTTTCTGGGAAATCAAACTAGGCGATTTACTGCGATTCGATAAAATTAATAAATGCATAACAATAGCTGCTTGGCCGAAAATGTGGCTAAGGTCTGATAATAAACACTTCAATTAAATACGTGACCCAATAAAAATACGCATCTTCCTCTAACGGGACATTTGCGAAACTTGCTTGATTTTAGGGTCTACTGACTGGCAATACACCAAGAATTCACACTAATAATTTAGAATATCATGTAAAGGATAAGTTAAGCACAAAAGCCAATGACTGAAATTAATGAAAAAAAAAGGTAAATAATAGCGAACTCGATTGCGAACAAAACGACTTCGACCGTTGTTGAAGAAAAGCGAAAGCAAATTGACTTAAACTGTTCTCCGCAATCAAACGTTGGACGAACTAGTGAAATTTGAACTGATGCGACTCAAATAAACATCCATCAAACGATCGTCTCTATAGCAAAGGTTGTCGCAGCACTCAGAAATTTAGACACAGTCACATTAAGCGACGGCACCATTTACCATCGGTTTCTTGGGTTTTTCGCCACGTTCGCTGAAACGGGGCTGTGCCCTGATGGATTTGGGTTTTCTATTGACATTTGGAGCGGCTACGCCGTTCTGTTTGGGCTCGTTAGTGCTGCTGGTGGTGACTGGTTGTGGTGCCTCTGGTACTTCAGACTGAATGTCCACTACAACAAAGAAACATTCGCTTCAGTAATGCGATTTGAACGATTAAGGCCGAGAAAATGATTTTATGAGGTCTGGAAACATGAATATTGCAGTTTTCGTAAGCAAACGGATGGTGGTTTCCATTTGGACACCAGGTTTAGTTGGGTGAAAAGTCGTTAGATAGCGGACGGAGTCGCATTGGGCACAAACTTCATACCTGGCGGGCTCAAGTTGCTCTTATCATTGCTTTTATCCTGATCGTTTTGTCTGGATCCTTCTCGAACTTCCCTACGTGGCCCGCCTCTTCTTCTCCTTGCGGGTCTTCCGCTTTCAGACCATCGTCCGCCCTCATGGCTTGAAACCGACTCTGCGATGTAATTATGATGTTTAATGAGCTGATTCTCATTTTGCATGTTCGTGCAAACAGCAGATGAAGCAGAAGCAAATTTGAAAACTCTTGTCCGATAAAGATCTACCGTTCGTTGAGTTTTTTTGCCAAAACGACTTGTTTTCATCTATTTCACTTACGATGCTCTTTCGTCTAAAGGGTTCAATTGAAACCAAACAATTACCGCATATTGATTTTGTTAGAGCCCCTGGTTATTTTTAAGTGTTGTAAAAATTGTGCAAACCATCCATTTTCCTTTTAAGAAACAAATCCGGAAACACAAGGAGGCAACTGTTGGAACTTTAAATTGCTTACCTCTGTCGACACTAGACACTTCCTGACTATCCAAAACAGTTTCTTCATCGTCGTGGTTTCTGCGCCTATCGTCTCCTCGTCTGCCGTAGCCTCTAGCAGAACGATACCTCATATACTTTCTTGACTCCGACATACGATCGTCTACTGAATCAGGAGTCTGATAACGCGAACCTATCAACAAAATCATTCAAAGTTTATTCAGATTTAGACATTCGTCTAAAATACTTTCGTAGAAATTTACAACCAAATACTTACCTAACACAGAAAAAAACAGTATATCTTCGTTAAAGTAAATCGATAAATATTAATTTCGAATTAAAGTGTTAGCACACAGATCCAAAGAAAGAAACTCAAATCAACATTGGATGTGTGGCAACCTTTCAAAGCATTCACTGCACATAAACATTTCATCCATTACAAATCCATAAAATTCCAACAAAACAGCAGTTGTATATAAAAAAAATAAAGCAAATACAATAATAAACAAGCAAAACAATCCTTGAAAGGGTACCCAAGTCCAATGTCCTCTGATTAACTAATGCAATAAAACAGCCTCAACTCGGTTTTGTAATCAATTTATATTTCTAAAAAAGTCACAATTTAAAGATACGACAAATTTGAGAGCCAGTCTTTCAGCCTAATTCTTACGAATTTTTTTGGCAGAAGTCGCCGGTATAACTTGGTTCTTTTCCGGTCAGGACATCCTCGAATATATCAGTAACTTTTATTGAAATTTGTGAGTATTATTGCAAAGATCCAATTATGCTAGAAATTAGACCTGAGCTAAAATTATACTAATCTTCTATTTGATTGATAAATGCCGCGGTAAATAAAAACAATTGGAGAATGTCCTTTAGTATTTGTTGATTTAGCAAACGCACAACTCTAGCATACCTCGAACGCTACCTATGAATTAACATTGAAATTCAAAAAAAATCACACGAACATCTACAAAAATCCCCCATTTACTGCAATCAATCAGCGCGAAGAACAAAATTATAGATAGCGTTAGAGATTTACAACGTGTGACGGGACATGGCCTGGTTACGTACCCTTCCAGCAAAGTTCTTTAGTTTACTTTACTTAATATAAAACTCAGAGATACTTAGAAGCCTCTTGGAATTTTACTAACTCTTTATATAGAATATATCGCGTCTTAACAGCAAATTAACGTTCCCAATTCAACCCATTGATACTGTTATAGACTAAAACAGTAAGAGTTGTATTGCTTGTCGTTAGCAATGCTGTTAACACGCGATTTGCCTAAATACTTCACGATATAGATAATAGGAGATGCAGATATAAGCTGAACATGAATCAGGATTGCCAATTAATTATGGAATATTTTTTCAGTTTGATTTTTATTTCAATAAGTGTTTTAGATCTGAGTGGCTAACATCTGCATCTATCTGTACAAAAGCCTTGAAAAGTCCACATTATTTTCCTTTAATATTTTTTCTGCTTCAAGCCAAAATATAGGCAAACAGTCATAAATTGGGTCTCAACGACTGAATTCCGCTATATAGCAGCTCGTAGCGTCTAGGTAAAATATTACAATATATGCTACACTTAATACAGCAAGTAAAATAAAAATATCAAAACCAAAAAGTCAGGTTTTTAAGTACCCAACTATAAAGTCAATCAAAGAGGCATTAAGGAGTTATAAAGTGCAAGCCGACTCCCGTTGGAACCTTAAATTAGCATAAAAATCAGATTTTGAAACGCAGCAATAGTTTGTTCGCCGACAAAGTGTGTAGAAAATTCGAATAATCTTCCCTTTATGAAAAAACTATTTCAATGACAAAAAATCCGAACTTGCAGTTTATAACTCCGCAATATCCTACATGAAAAATTGTTACACAATTTTTTCGAAATAATCGCACGTGATTTGCTATAAAACCGAAACTGAACAGATCGCAAGGACCGTGGAAATGACTTTATACCAAAACACGCCTCTCAATAAGATACTTTAAATGTGTACCTTAACACTGCTGACCAGTACGTATGGTACCGAATATGGATTCGTAATGGTTGCAATTCGAGTTCAATGCCTAATAGCAGTTCGAAGTGGGTCAGCAATAAAGCATGGTAATAAAAGCAAAAAAAGAGAAGTATGATGAAAATTAAATCTTCGAATATATACATTTACTCCTCCTACCACTGGAGTGGTACTATAAAGTCGCTTTTTCATCTAACAGTGTAATGTGAATTTAAAAAACGCGCAATGGATCAGCTGAAAAAGCCGTTATTTGAATTCGCTGACGTAAAATCCCTCTAAACTGAACAAAACGTTCTGAAGAAACGAGCTAGATTTAAAATACGGTGTAAGTTACAACGCCCAGATTTTTTTTAAATCAAATAAAAAATGCACAAGAATTCCTCGTAGATTGGTTGCGATGTTTTTCACGGTTACGGTGTAATGACCATCTTGGTGTTAGTTAATTAAATATTTATTGAATACATAACATATGCATGTGCTGATGGCATTCACATGTTATTAAATAACTTTTAACGACGAAATAATCAACGCACCAAGCTTGTACCATACACACCCTTACAAAAAACACAACATACCCATTGTGTTAAGTTGATCAAAAACGTGGTTAAATTGAGTCATCGGCCGGGTCAGTCTATTTAAGTCATTTGAAAATTACACAATTTGTGGTTTTAGTATGAAACAGTCGGTCAGAGAGCATTGTGATTCCATTGAGCCGAGATTCGATTACCAAACATTGCGCCTGAAGCTCGCGAAAAAGATATGCTTTCGACCAAATGCTGAATCATCGCAACACCACAAATCATACAAGACAAAAGCAGCAATGCAGGCAGGCGTCTGGTCCTGCCTGCCGCTGCAGTCACGCGTTATTCTGGGCCACAGCATATTCAAGCCCCCCATATAACAGTTGAAACAATTGAAATCATTACTTCCGATCACCCGCTGAATCTACAGACGTTCTCCCTCGTGCTCCGCCCCCCCTAGGAATACGACCATTTGGTGTATATCCCCCCCTTGGAGCGCCCTTATTACGACCCGGCCGCTCGTCAATGTTATTATAGTCGGTTTGAGACTGATGCGTACCCTGGCCATAACGATCTCCGCCTTGTCTGGAGCCTCGTCCCCTACCACGGTGTCCGCCTCTTTCCCCTCTGTAGCCTCTTCCGTCCATTCCACTGCTGTGGCCCCGATCAGAACGACGCCCGCTCATTGTAAGCGACTGCATCGACCCCAGGTTTGAACCATGATGAATGCTGCGTAGTTGTTGATCAATGTCCCGTTTCTCTTGACGCAGTTGTTCCACTTCCTGGAATTAATCGTGTCCTATACACAAAGTTCAGTAAAAACAAAAAAAATATTTACTTTCAGATGGGCCAGATGGTATTCCAGAAGGATCTTGACATTGGATATGCTTTCTACTGTGCCGACAAAAACGAAAGGAATCTGTCCCTCCTCGCGAGGAATTGTTGGTTCTGGTTCATTGTCGCCCTCGATTTTCACCCGAACCTGAGTTTCAATAAAGTTAACCAACATCAAAACCAATTAGCTAATCGCTTACCACTCCGCTTTTATCAACAATTTCCTGTATGATTCTGCCGTTCTTTCCAATAACTTTGCCCACTAGAGCTCTGGGGACTTGTAAAGATTCCTGGCTGTATTCTAACATGGACCGTGCTTTTCTGACGGCCTCGTCTGATTCTCCGTAAATTTTAAAAGTACAGGAATTTTCCTCTAATTCGATGTTTGTAATGCCCTCCACTTTTCTCGCTTGCTGTATATTTACACCGTGAGCCCCAATAGCCAATCCCATTAAATCTTCCTTTACGTTAAATTCATCAGAACAACTGTAACAAGCAAATAATGAGCTTATTCACGAGTTTTTTCAACTGTTAATGCCTGTGTTGTTAGATGTTTCAAAAATATTTTTTTTAGTTTGAAACCCGAATAATAGCGAGTATTCAGATGAAAAATGTTTTGGTAGTTTGTAAAGCTAACTAAGCCACATCCTTCCTAGTCACATTAAGCAGAGATTCAAGAAGAAACAAATGCAGAAGATCCATTCATTAAGCGAGTTAATCGAAGAAAATTGCTTACCCTCCTATATTAGCCAACTTGGTGTTTTCCAACTGTCTTGCTAGTTCTTCCGTTCTCTTCAACAACAAGACCTTCTGAGACAGTCCCCTGAAGTGCATGTCTTGCAACAACGATGCCCGTTTTTGGCTAGTTTCGCATCTAGAAATAACAACTAGAACGCCTTTCTCTGCGTTGTAAAATATGCGATCGGCGCCTATGACCTTTGCAAATTCTTTATGGGAGTCCTTTTTGCAACTGTAATACAACAGAAAAAACGGAAATTAGCTCAGGAATTTGGAAGTCAAAAACCATGACTTACTAGTCTCGCACATCTTCAGGAACTTCTATTTCAAATTTATAAAACAAGCTTTTTTCAATGGGCGGGTTGGTGTTTTTCTGCCTAAGCCGGTCAGTATTAACTATCTCTGTGTATGTGTTGTCCCAACCCAAGTATTCAACCACGTAAAAATCGCCTTTCATCATTTTAATCGTCGCTTTCCACCAGCCGTATCCCTCTTGGTTGTTTGATCGGGAAAATACTTCCACTTCCATGTTTCTGGTGTATTCGACTGGGGTTTCGGGGGCGACGGGAGGTAACCTGACTTGTTCGTAAGGAAACTTTGAATCAGGTTGCCAACTGTAACAATCAAAAACCCATTAGTCTATTTTGATTTTCATAATTGATACTAAGAGTTAAGACTCTTAGTATCAATTATGAAAACCCGTTTTTTTAAATAGATTGTGACTCATTGGCAAGTAATTTACTTATAAGTCATTAGTAGTTTAGGGATCAATCAAGAATTTTTATACCAGTTTCACCTAGATAAAAAAACATGAACGCGGGAATCAAAGTAATTTTTACTTGATAAGAATCTTATTTACATATTTGGCAGCAACAAGGGTTTACGTTCTTGAGAAATAAGTTGTAATTTAATGTAAGCTTTTTTCAATTACTGGCTTTGTCAATTTATGCACTGTGACTATTTCAGTGCATATTCTACTCAAATATTCAAGCCATTGAGTTACTTATTCAAAATTTTACTTCTGTATTTAATTCGACGTTTTTACCTTTTACATTGTTTTGATATAGTTATCCATGAAGCAACAAAAGTTTTTTTATGAATACCCGCTTAAAATTAAAGCGTGGACTGGTATTGTCAATAGCCCTTGTATTGTAATTCTAAACAGTTTAAATAGTCATAATCACTCACATGTGATACTGCAAGACTTATATTTCACAAGAATCGCGGTTTATGCTTGACGAAGCACTCCCCTTGTTTTCACTTCTCGGTTCGACAAATTCTATTTAAAATAATTCGAAATACGTGAATAGAAAAGAAAAACTGCCACTGAAAATGGCCACCTGGATGGCCGGATTTATCACTGTTGGACGCGTGGGAAACTGAACCGAAAATTGATGGAAAACAAATAAATAATGATTCAAACACACCAAGGTAGAACTCAAGTAATTAAAAAAAAAACAGATTTGTCTAGCATCTACTGTAGTTAGAAATGCACTATCGCGTAATACACAAATAACAGCAAAGTTTAGTACAGGAAGTTGGCAGTGTTGACGAACAAAAAACGAAGAGATTGTACCTACAACTTCCACTCAAGTATTTAAATAATCTTTTTTTAACTACAAAATTTTAAATAGGGGGCGTAAGGCGAATAAGTATTAGCAGAAGAAATAACTATGTGAAACAATTTAAATTTCTTAATGATAACGGATTTGACAGCAGACAGTTTCAAAACTGCAATTAGGCAGTTTTTATTCTTGAGTTTCGATGAATTATGTCTAAACAGTCTGAGTAGTTTTAAAGTAAAATAATACAACCAATTTTGGAAAAAAATTCAACCCACGAAAATGTCGTTGTTTATCTGCAGACATTTATCAAATTTTCATCATTGACTATCGGTTGGAAATCAATATCTTATAGATAGGGAAAATGCCATGTTGCTTCATGAAGAGAATTAGACGTACAGATTATTGATATAATTGTTTCCGAATAACATTAGGAATTATTAACCGCCGACTCAAGAGACTGAGACTGCAGAGCCAATATACAAGTGTATAAATTCAATTGTACTCAAAACGGATCTATCTTCTGAAGGATGAACAAACGAACCTTTTTTTATGAAAAGCTTCAATATTTCAGTGTTCCACATAGAGTTTAGCTTCAGTGCTAAAAATATCCTAGAGGACCTTTTGACAAAAAAAACTACTATGAAAGTGCTTTGCACGTTTCCAAAGGAACTCAAACCGATGGCCATAAGCGACAGTAGAAGAGCCTGCATATTCATATAAAGTCACAAACTAAAGGTGTTTCCATTGGGTGATCTGTAATTTGCTACAGAATAACGATTGGCTTAGCCAAAACAGCGAGAAATATTGAATTTTTGTAAACTATTTATGAAACCCAGGAAAGTGGTTACTCGGTCACATGCCACCCAAAGAAGCTGCTCTATGATTCAAACGATTGCTTATGTGAGTACTATGGAGTTACTATCAACCGAATGGAGATTAAAAACGTATCTGCGTTCTGGCAATGGAGGTCTGAAACCTCCCATCACAAGTCTTTCACATGCAGCTGTTATCTGTAGAAGACTCCAAATAAATCCGCATTTGTATCAGTGTTCTTAGCATTCGAATGCACATTTAATAATTTAGTTTTTCCGTATGCATTGACTTTCTTGTCATCCTTCTCGATACATCACCATCTTTATTAAAAAACTAATTTAGAGCCACATAAAGACTGAGTTCTTTAGGTTCCCCTTTACTGTCAAGTTTACGCCTTTGTTCCATGAATTCCATGGATTGAATTAGCAGATAATGACCAAAACCCCCTAAATACATTATTGTGATTAAATGATTTGTTGACTCACGATAACAGACTTTTGCATTTGTAAGCAAGACCGATACCTATGGCTAATTATTCAAGACAAAGCCATACTTACTCATCCTCAAAATCCACAAGAACTCCGTCATCGAATAGATCGAGAATGAAGCCCTGAAACAAGAAAGAAGCTATAAAAGGGGCCCAATGCTACTGTAATCCGATACGGGCACGAACATAACCTTATGCAAAGGAACTGATTAAACGGTTTTTTGTGGCGATTTATTGTGAAAGAGGCTAAAATCTAGATCCAGTCGCGCTTCAAAGGGCATAATCCAGTATTTTCGGGGACACATGGAGTTTTATCACGCCCTGTCAAACGGTCATGGCGTCAAAAGAACCGCGTTTGCCAGTGGAGAAAATGTAAAAATTTGGATGGAAAAATGAGACAAATCCTCGCTGGTTGGTCGAATTGAAACCGGAATCTTTCGCGCACCGTTTTATCGCACTTTAACCGCCCGTTTTAATATACTTTGAATAATACAAACCTTATAAAGGGCCCCATTTTCGCCGACAACTTCCACTGCTAGGTCCTCCATGTTGATTTCTCTTTTAGTAAAGGAAATAGCCTTGGGCTGACAACTAACTGCACTGCCGCCCTGCGGACAGAAACGACAAAATTTAAGTGACAGAATATCTATAGGGCCGTAATAAGCCAAAAGCCCATTCAAAATAAATGAACACGCCTTAACAAACCACTTTTTCCTGGAGATTTTCCGAGAATATGCCGTTTCCGCCACATTGCATTCACATAAGTTAACCCAATTTTCATAAGATAACAAATGATAAAGGACGGCATGACGTCCTTGCCGTTTCACGCCGCTCAGGCCGAAAAAATCGCACATTCGGCAACTCTATCATTTGTTTTCACTCGATTTTCTCAAAAGACCCAGATCTTAACAATTAGTGAAAAACATACTGATAACTAGGAAAATGAAAATGAAGCGGTGATCGTGTGATTTGAGTCCCTCTTAATTTTTAAATTTTCTGAAACCACTTAATAAGGCACGTAAATGAGATTATCCGGTGCTATTTGCGGCTAAATCGTGTTTTAGGTATCAACTATTCGTAACTCGCAAAATTGTAACGCAAAATTGTCGCTAAGAGGCATCGTATTTGTGTTTTACGCAAAAGTTTTAGCATCTTTTCTAACGTTGTCAATTGATTAAATAAAATGGTAATTTTCCTCAAACTTTGTGACTTTTTCTGCTGAGACTGCTTAATTTAAAGTGCGCTTTAAGATAAAACAGGAAAAAATCTAAACGTTCGTAGGGACTCAAAAGACACGATCATCAAACGAAGCAAATTTGTAGGTTGAACACTATTTTGGTTAATATTTCTATCTCAGAGAGAATGAATAGACAGTCTCTTGTTTCTGCTGTTTATTATCGGGTTTTGCAAACGCTGAGTCCGGTTCTGTACACTTGCCCAGCCCGTTAACGCGTTTGGAAGCGCTCTGTTTTATCGATACAGTTTGTCAACTGATGTCACATTTAAGTCAAATGACTGGCATTTAGTAAATAAAAGTGTATTCAAAATGGTATAATTTGTGTAATTTAGGATAAGGACTGTATATCGACTATTCACCATGTTCTATTAATTGGGTTGATTGAACATGACAACACCTCATATCCGCAATGTCTAGCAGCAGCGATTCAGAGGAGTTTTATGACGCTGAAGATAATACACCAAATCATGGTTCCAGGTATTAAAGTTCAAAACATTATATCATATCTAATTAAAGAGATCACTTACCTCCAGATAGACTATCATGAACGTTATACCAATTGAGTGATTTACTCACAAAACACTGACACTTAAACAAATAGCAATAAACAACGAAATACCTGACAGGTTATCTGGTATCTTGATCTATAGAATCCAGCACCCAGACTCCAAGGTTGCAGGAACCATTCAAATTGATCTAGTTATAGAAACCTTGTTGCTGTTCACAGCTCAAATGCAATTGTTCAAGCTTATCTCCATAATTATTACTCAAAACTCTTCATCTAAGCTCATCAGCTCTCTATATCTCTATTTATCAGCATCCTAAAGTATTGTTGCGAAGTTTATTTGCAAAAAAAACCATTCAGTTTTAACCCAATTCAGTTTTCCCTCTAGGTAGGGTTTATCTTAGCGAGGGCAATAAAATATCCTGTTTAATAATCGAAATATTAATTCGACTCTTTCGTTTCGATCAGAAACAAGCTTAAGAAGGGATCAACAGAAAGTATCACGAAAAGGTCCAGCTCTGAACCCAATTTCCCCGTAAACATCCAAACCCAATCGAAGCAAGTCGAAAGTTTCGAAGAAACCAGCGAGCATGTGTTTCTGAAGCCTCAAAACATATCACCTCCGACTAGCAAAAAGCGGTTTCAAGGTGAGCCGACTTACAAAGTGAAAAAAGAGTATAAACCCGAATAATTTCACAGCTTAAAACATTTTTTTTTCTTGCAATAGAGCTTCGAGAAAAACTTCAAAGAGAGGATGAGGATGGCTGTGGCAACATTACGCCACCACACAGCCAGACTTCATCAGTTGAAGGCGTTTTTGCGGCTCCCAGCAAAGCGTCGCATCCTTTTCGCATTATTGAACAAGATACCCTTAGTTTACAAAGTATTAATTCTCTCGGCCGATTAATGAGAGTCACCAATGCTGGTAAGTATTGATTAAAATCTTATTTTTGTTCATCCACTGGACATGAAATTTTCTTTGCATTAACCTTTGTATTCCTGTTTCCTTCCAGATACTGCTAGAAAGGCAATTTCCATTTCCGCTTTGTCGTCCAGTTCGCTGGATTCCGAATCAACGCAAAGCTCGAAAAAGTTTCCCAGTACTTTGGCTTTGGCCAACGCAGGTACTTTCCAGTCTGCCATCATTTCATTAGAAAATTAACTTTATTATTGTTTCAGGGGCCACCGCTCTTGCAACGGATTCAGACAAATCGGCTTCGGCTGCTCTTCAAGAACCTGACGTGGTGGCCAGTACCAAAGCCTCTAATGCTTCACAGCAAAAGCCGAGCCTAATAGCTGCTGCTCCTGTTGCTCCACCTAGACGTAAAAAGAAGATCAAAGCCCCCAACTATCCGGCTACTATTGCTGTACGGTTTTCAACTGTTTGCAGATATTGAATTGACAATTAACGAATCGAAATTTGTTCCAGAAATCAGCTTCAAGCAGCAGTTTTCCCACTACAGCTGACCTGACTAGTCCTGCCAGTACTATCGAGTCTCTGGCTCGCGAAATTGAGCGTCTTAATTCAGTATCATCGGTGAAATCTCAGTGTTTCAAGTCCGATAGGCTGGTGCAGAGTCAGTCCGATGGATCTAAAAGCTCCACTTTGAAAAGTGGCCATTCGCTCGACATTACTCAAGTAAGCCTTAAATTAGCAAGTATTAGTTTTAAATGGCATTTGAAAATTTTATGACGAGTTTCTTTCGTAAATAGGGGAATCCAGTTGGCTTCAGCATGACAAGTTCAGATAGTGCGGTATGTTTGTCTCAATAAGCGTTTTGCTTGCGTTATTTTAGCACTAGTTGTAGGAAAAGCTTGGATTTTGTCTGGAATACTCATTTTTAAAGTGTGTTAACATCCCAACTAGCTTTGAGTTCGTTAATGCAGTAATTGTATAATCATCATTACTTTGCTGGTATTTTATAATTCTAATACTTTGTTAACAACTTTTTGCATCAAACTGTTATGGTTTATCTATCATTTGTGCAGTTGTACCGAGCCTACGCTTCTAGTGTGGAAAGCACACTGTTTAGAACTTATCGAAACACTGTTAACTCAACTCCGTTTGGAACCCAAAAGAGACACTGAACATTCATCACTTTTCAGCTGCATCTTCCCAAACAACTTTTACATTGAGCAACACTAACTCAACAATCCACTCAATCAATTTCAAATATTGATGAGATAAACTACATTCGCATTTTTTCCAGTTGACCCGAGGACAGTTTGTAGTTAAACCAATGGACACCGAGAGCATCAAAGCGCAAGGCACGGGCTTCAATTGCTCGATGAAACCTGTGACTGAGTACGTTCCAACGCCTGGAGCCGATCGGTTAGTTCACAGTCTTCATGAAAGCAGAATTTCCAATCTTTTTTTCCTTTATTTAGTTTAGTACCGCCACTAGAAGAGAGCACCAGCAGCAGTAGTCGGACATCAAATAGAAGTAGTTTAGGCCACTACAGTCTCGGTCCTCATCGGTGGGTTTTGTTCGGTTTTTCTTTCCATTCAATATTTTTCAATGGTTCTTTAGGGGAACGCATCAGATCTCCGGTCGACATACGTCGAGGGACCGAAGAAAATCGGCTGGGGATGAGAACCTGCTTTGTGCCAGCAATATGAAAGTGAGAACCCATACGGATTCTGGCAAGCAATTATCAGACTTGGAAATTTTGGAGCAAGTTACCGTTCTTAATCTTGACACAGGTAAGATGATAAGCACCAAATCATCTTTGTGCGAGTTTCAAACATGTTTATTTCGGCAATTTCGATTAATTTCTGCGAAAATTGCTTCAAAACTCAAGGAAAATTGTCGAAAAAAACCTGCAAACATATAAAAAAAACGTTGAAAATTCAAATATATTTTGTTTTTTCAAGAATCAAATAAACTACGGCATTCCTACCTAGTCTATGGTAAGATACACGATTTTTGTTTTCCTTGTAAATTGCTTCTGCAAAAAGCCGCTGCCGAGAAAATGGCATAAAATGCATTGAAATATCTTATATATTCCACTGGCAATCATTGTGATTTATGGATGGCACTAACGGCAGGCACCAATTTTTTTGTGGTTTTGCTGAATTGATTCCAAAAACAGTAGGAAACTTTCGATAAATTTCTAGTTTTGCGTCCAGGAAATGTATAAGTTGTTCAGGGTGTTTTATTTAAATACGAACGGAAATTGAGATCGAAAAACTGTAGTTGATTCGAATGGGGAGAAAGTGGGGCAATTAAAATACTAACTTTCAATTTATATGATTTTTGTTTGATGTATTTGCAAAGAAAAACGCTATTGTCGAATTTCTCGTTCTACAGCGTGGATAATTGAATAACGCAGCATTAGAGGGAATCACCCCATTTTACTTTTCTGAGCAACTCAGTTTGCTGTTCTTGGAATCAAATAAACAATTATTACATTGGATGTACAGCTCGATTAATTTACTTAAAGTCTGCACACAACAAACAATTTAAAATTCATTAAATATAGCGCTAAACTGATTATCGAGTTGTGCATTTTATACAAATATAACGTTGACCAAGCACTAACAATCTTAACGCCACATTTTACGATTTTTTCCATTCCAGCCCCTTATGATGGTAATATTCACAATAACACAGTCTTTTAAATATTGACACACCAATTGTCCACTGATTAAGCCCTAGAAATAGTTTCAAATGTCCGCGTTTGCAGGCGAACGCATTCCTTTAAGTGTGGCCGAAGATAAACTTCCGCAATGCATCAACCCCTTATCTTTGCATATCATGCGATTAACATCCGAGTATGTCAGTTCCTCCAGTATGGAAAAAGAAAAAGAAAGTGATGAGGAAAGTGTTGATATCAAGAAATCCGATATTCCTATTGTGGATGATCCTGAAGCTGGCGGTAAGGAACACTAGATTGGTAAATTGAATGGATTCTAGTTGCACTTCTAGTAGGAATGCGCAAACGAACGGCCCGATTAAAAAGGATATTCGGGTCAAACGTTAAGAAGGTCATGCATAAAGCGAAGAGCATTGCTCAGGAGGTATCTCACGCCAGGCACAAAGAGGACATCATTGATATCGTGGACAATGTCCATCCAGGGGAGCAAAATTGCAAGCTAAAAGTACACAATCAACGCTTACCTCGGTTGCTTTATCCGCATTTAATACATTTTTCTAGGCTTCAAACTCACACAAGGGGCCATTCGAGTTTGAAAAAGTCGAACACATCCAGGAGCTGAAAGACGATCAACACGAGGGTTCAATTTGGTGCATGAAATTCTCGAGCTGTGGACGATTGTTAGCCACCGCTGGCCAGGATAAGATTTTGAGAATATGGGTCATCAAAGATGCCTATCCTTTTTTCCAGGTGAGTCTTGAAAATATACACTGGTAGAAAAACCCATCAGAAATTTTACACAAAATTTTATCTCTGTAGCTGCATTATGTACGAACTGACGCCGTTTGATAGAGAAAACATTGCTTTATTCTTTGTGTTAAATTCGATCTACTTATCAGTTTGCCCCATTTTCGTTATTGTCTTCAATAGAAGATTTATTCTACGTCTTAATCAACAAGCTTTTTTTGAAGAACTGATCAATCAGATGAGGACAGCTTTGCTTTATGACTTGCTATTGCTTATGTATTTTTTGTATTTTTCGTAATTTTGACGATTCTTTTTCATCATTTTATTCAGCAAGCAATTTAAAAAAAATTCTCCATAAAAATATGAAATTAGGAATGTCTTAAGGCCACGTTACAAGGAAAACTTTGTTTTATTCTTCCTGGCAAAGGCGATTTGTGATGTTGATGGTGGAATTGCGAATTCTCACTGATTTTAGCTGGCCACGATGTATAGTTAAAAAGCGAATAAACACGGACAAAAGTAGTGGATATTGATTCCGCTACTGTCAATTCTATACAAATAAGTATCTTTGAACAAATGAAATTTTTCAAAATTTAGGACATGAGAACAAAATACAACGCTGAAAAAGTGTCGCCAACACCGTCCCAAGAATCACTTGCATCCCATCATTCAACCGATCACTCAAATTTGGCCGCACTGGAGGCATTAAGCCCTGAAGAGGCCAGTCGAATCACATTTATGCCCAAACCGTTCTGCACTTATTCGGGACACACCTCAGATCTATTGGATGTTTCCTGGTCGAAAAACTACTTCATTCTTTCCTCGAGTATGGATAAAACAGTTCGGTAAGCACATTTGCGTTATGATACAAATGGGATAAAACTGATTTTTTTTGTGTTATAGATTGTGGCACATTTCCCGAAAGGAATGTCTGTGCTGTTTCCAACATATTGATTTCGTTACTGCTATCGTTTTCCATCCTAGGGACGATCGTTACTTTTTAAGCGGATCGTTGGATGGCAAGCTGAGGCTGTGGAATATCCCGGACAAAAAGGTAAATATACTAATTAAGCCCAAAAGCTACCGCCAGCCTCATTTTTCCATGTTTTGAACCGATTGTGTTTAGCTTTGTATGCATTTTACCTTGCTAGCTTACTTTTTCTGAAAAACTGCTCATTTTATCGATATCAACAAGAAGGGTTTTTTCAGCTAAAGGTTCTACGCTTTAGACACTTTTTTGTTGTCTCCTCGATACAGAGTAAAAACAATCGGGCATTTATTAAGTAAAAACATAGATAAATCGCAGCCCAAATTTAAAATTGAAATTTCCCAAAGTTTCCAAAGATCCTTCTGTGAAACAGACGCATCCTGACTGCACTACTTTTCAGTTTCATAATAAATATCAATCTATTTATATACATTTTATTTTTATTTTATTAAATACAGGCACGATTTTACAAAGCAAATTATTTATTTAAGTATGTTTGTTTTCAATAAAATTTTATCGATATTTTGGAATTTGTTAATTAGGTTGCTGTTTGGAACGAGGTGGAAGGAAATCCCAAACTGATTACAGCCGCAAATTTCTGCCAAAATGGGAAGTTTGCCGTTGTGGGAACATACGATGGTCGGTGTATATTTTATAGGTAAACGCTTTCAGTAAAAATCCCAACTAGACGTTTATAAGAAAAACATATAGCGTTGACTAGAAAGAAAAGATAAATATATATTTACAGCACTGACCAACTAAAATACCACACACAAATCCATGTGCGATCGTCCAGAGGACGAAACGCAGTGGGAAGAAAAGTGAGCGGAATCGAACCGATGCCTGGAGAAGACAAAATACTGGTCACATCGAACGACAGCAGAATTAGGTTGTATGATTTACGCGACTTGAACGTTTCGTGTAAATATAAAGGAAAAGGTTAGTACTGAAACGTGCAGCACTCGGAGAAAAGCTAAACGAACCGATATTGCAGGGTATGTAAATATGAGCAGTCAAATCAAAGGGAGCTTTAGCCACGATGGAAAGTACATAATCAGCGGCTCGGAAAATCGGGACATTTACATATGGAAGACAAACCACGATTATGCCAAGTTTTCCTCCGTTAGAAGGGACCGGAATTATTTCTGGGAAGCTATAAAAGCCCACAATGCCGTGGTAACTTGCGCAGTTTTCGCACCTAATCCAGAGGCCATAATCAAGATGTTGGAAGAGAATCAACGCAAAAGTATTGGGGCTAGTCGGGATGATATTAGTAGAGTAAGTAGCTGTAGAGAAAAATCGCCCATTTAACTAATGATTTAATGGCTTTTCAGGTTGAAGACCCAGTAGTCGAACAGCACACCAAAGGCTGTGGCGGCTATGTGCTCGTCTCGGCTGATTTTAACGGATGTATAAAAGTATTCATCAATAAAACCAAACCAAAGCATAGTTCTTTGCCGGTTTCGGCAATGGCTTAGGAACAAGCGTAGATTGTAAATTATGATTGTATTAGGGCCGATACATAATTATTTTTCAATATTCGGTGCTGGACCCATTAACATTCTCACTCACTTTACAAATTAATTGCTAGTAATAAACCGTTATTGTTGGCAGCACTACAAACTGTCTTAGTTTTAACAAATATTTTAAATTGTTATTGTATGGAAGTTGTTAAAATAAATGAATGAAACGTTCTCGTCGCTAAATTTTCTTTCAAAGATTGCAGAATATTAGCAAAGTTTATTGATAGAACCAGTAACCTAAAAGTTGCTACTTACAAATAAAACATACTTTACGCAACAAATTAAAACAAATTAATTATTACTTGCGGTTTTAAAAGCTCACTTTTCGGTGGTTATTATTGGGCTTTGCGACCACGATCGTCCACCTTTCTCGCCATCTTCCGTGAAAGACCATGATTTACTCCTGTGCTGGTTTTTTTGCTCCTTCAACTCTCTCGGAGTCATAAACTTTGTCGAATCCACGGAATTTGCCCTGGATCTGGATTTAAAATCAACTAGATGACATGCGAAGCAGATTCTGAAACAAACCTTGATCTACTGCGCTTTAACTGACTACCGGATCTAGAGTGGCTCCTATTTTTCGATTTTCTGTCTCTTGACTTACTCCTACTTGCAGATCGGGTGTTTTTGGATTTCGATCGCGATCTTCTAGACTTTGAACGACTACGATGTCTACTTCTAGACCTAAATTATTACGAGAATTGACATTTTGCTAACAGTTGAAGAGCCGAGTTTACCTAGATTTTCTTCTGTAACTCCGTGATCTGCTTCTGCTGTCTCGATCGCTTTTTCTCGACCGTTTTCTGGATCTCGATGGGCTTCTGCTTCGCAATCTTCCATGCGAATGGCTTCTGGAGCGCGATCGCGAGTTTCGAGATCTGCGTGGAGAGTACGATCGAGAACTGAAAACCAACGTTTAATCTGCAAGTTAATAATTTAGTGTTAAAAATATTTACCTGCGTTTGGAATACTGATTTCTCTTCCTATTGTACTGATTGCTGTATTCTTCATATACTTCTGGTGGATAAAACCCTCGTCCACCGTGAGCTCCTCTACCTCGTTGATTAAATCCTCGTCCTCTACCACGGCCTTAGAGGAAAAAACTGTTAATAGCTGGTCGATGATTTTCAATTCCCGTCATACCTCTACCTCTAGCACCTCTATAAACACTAAAGATGTCGATATCTTGGTAGATTGGAGGTCCGAAAGGTTGATACATTGGTTGAAACGGAAAACCGTACATCGACGGGGGTTGGCCATCAAACAGAAAATCTGGCCGATGTTGGCTTCGCATTGGAGCAGTTACTCTGCGATCACCTAAATGAACCAATCAAAAATCTTTTAAAATCCGTGTTTTTATGATATGCACCTGGGCTGGCGTCTAAAGAAAGTTCTGAGTCGGACGAGTCGGAGAATTTTGCAGTTTTCACCCCGTCCGATAGTATAGTCTTGAGCATTGCTCGACCTTTGACTGCGTGATGAAGTTTCTCTTTTTGGCTTAAGTAGTCCAATTCTCTGATATTTTTTAGTCTTTTTAGCTAACCATTTGAAGAAAATTAATTTATGAAAAATAGATGTAACTTTATTTATTGGCAAGTACCTTATCTGCTTTGGGATCTGGCAAGTTGTAGCGTTGGATTTCTCCCTCACTTTTCTCCTGTAAACAATTATTACCTTTTAGTAATTTTCAAAGTACTAAACGGGTTCAAACAAAAAGTATAACATTAGTCTGTTAAAATATGCCTACTTTAATCCTCTTAAAAAGCTCCTCCACCATCCGAATGGCCTCCAGTTTCCTCTGGACTTTAACGAGTTTCTTTTCCTCCTTAGCGATTTTCTCATTGATTTCGTCTGATCCAGTTATTTCCAATTTCTGTAAAATTTTGGTTTTGCGCTTCTCTTCCCGCATACGTCGACGGATCTCTTTTTGCGTTTTCAGGTTTTCATTCTTTTTTCTGAAAATCAATTGAAACTATGATTCAATGTTGCCTGGATTAAAACTGGTCTGCAAACCTTTCAACTTCTTCCTGCTTCTTTATTTCTTCCAAAGCTATCTTGTCTTTCTCCTCTTTTTCTCTCGCCTTTTTCACTAATCTGTCTCTAACAATTTCCCTTCTCCTGATGGAGGCATCACTGAAACACAGACCTTGAAGCCTAAACCGAGTCTTGATGAAGAGCAATGTATACCTTAAATGTTTGGTTTTATCAAAGTCCACTTTGATTTCGATTTCCACATAACCATCATTTTTATGCACTAGCTTTTTATCGCGAAAAAAATCCATCGCCTTGGTAAAGCCGATGTAGTCTTTAAACTGAATATAACCCTCAAAAAAGTCCAGTTTTTCAAAACTAGAAAATTTGAGTCCAGATATGTGTTCTTTCATTTTTTTGCGATAAGGGTCGCAAATTGGAATGTCCACGTAACGAATGCTGCCAAATTTCTCAAAGACCCTGTAGAGAATCTTTTCTAAAAGTTGTGGTGTTTTGATCAATGTGGAATGTTCACTAAAGACCTTTACCTGATGGCGTTGTATCATCATCATTATCGCCACTTTGAGGGAAAGGTGTAAACCATTTTGAGGGAATATTCGAGATATGCATCGTATCGGGACGCTCGCCAGGTTTCATTTCGTTCATGTTCTTCGCCTCTGAGAAGAAAGCATCCCAAGCGCGTCTATTTGGAAATTCTGAGGGCGTTTCAGCAGCTTTCACTCGCATCAGGTCGGCGAAATCTTTCAATTTAATCATTTTGTTGTTAATTTTCGACACAACTCGCTCCAGCTTAGATCGTTTCTCCACCTCGGCCTCCAGCCTCACAAATTCCATCGTAGTTCTCGTCACTTTTAAAACAGTAAATTCATCAGGCCTGATCAGCTCCTTCAGTTTATCCATAATCTCCCAATGTGACACACTTTTGCCCAACTTTGTTAAGTTCGGCAACTGCAAGGATATGTTCAGTTTCGCTATCGGCCGCAGATATAACTGCTGGGGCAGATAAAGGGGCTCCAATTCCGATGTGTTTGGGCATGTCTGAAAAACATTCATAATTAGAACTCTCAACCTGTTTAAAAACAGGCGGATATTCTAGGTTATCAATGCTTTCCAGCACTTAAATGTTGTGGTTTTTATTAAATGTGAAAAGAAAATCAGAAAACTTTTATATTTAGTTGGTGGTAATTGTTTGACAAGACGCCACTGATTTTTTAGGTTAATGCTGTCAATATCCTCCTCTTTGACGATTAATTTCTTTGTAATAGTATTAGTAGAAATATGGCAACGCCACAGTTGAAATCACAGGGCCTGGTAGGGAATAATTCAAACTAAATGTATATATATATATTCCAGATATTTGTTAATGATCGCGAGTATTTAAGGGTATAACTCTTCATGGTAAGCTAATTAAAACATCTTTAGATGCAAAAATAAGGGCCTCGTTCGCTTTTTAGCTCCTTTCCCGAGAATTATTTTTCACTCACTTTCTATGTGGAGTTTAAATACTCGTATATCATTAAGAAACATCCTGTAGATTTGAACTATTTTTCTTTTCATTACTAAACCTTGATTACACTCAAAAACAAGTTTAATTGGATTTATTCTGGATGGATAATTTTCAAATAAAATGTTAGAGAGTTGAATAGAACCTTGATATTTCAAACATTTCATCTATTAACAATCCATTTATTACACATGCATACATATTACAGCAGATAGCTGATTATTATTTAAATTGAGGTTCTTATGTATTTATGATTTTATCGCTGACATAAACTCTTAATTGCTTTTTAATATGCGATGCGTATATTATTTAATATTTGTCGCGCTTTGCAGATGCTGTTTTTTATTTGCACTGTTCGAACACATTAGGATATTTTTTGTGAAGCGCGCCTGCAGAAGGACAAGGTTAAATATAGTAATGTTTTAGAGACAATAAACATTTTTTCTATATAAAAAAACGCATTTGCTACTAAAGCCCTAATTATCTCAAATTATCTTCAATGCCATAAGATTATATAATTTGAGCACTATTTCTGAGAATCATCTGCACTGTTCTTTGTCGCCTTTAATATTACGAAGACAATAATTCTCCTCAGATAAGTGGATACAGATTTTACAAACAGTTTATGCACCACAAGTCCTTGCTTTCTCCCAGATTAAACACCAGGTTAATAACGAAATTGCTTATTAGTGATTATTTCGAAATAAGTTTCATAAAGCCCCCGGAAAGATTATCATTTTTAATTGTACAATACGTATATTTTATGCGTTGCTGCAATGAGAGATGGTATCTAAACTGCATTGGCCTACCGTAGGAAACACTAATTAAAAGCTCCTATAACTAATTAATTTGCCATATTTATTTTATTATCGAAATGAGTTTGCTTTGGCAGCAAATGCAATCAGGAAATGAGTAAAAATTGTTTTTAATACAGAATAAATACAGTTACATTATGACGAAACAAATATTACAGTTAATAAACAGAATTTCATGTAAACATCAAACAAACCAATTATTTATTTAGGAAAAATGCTGGTGAAATGAATACTGAGGCAGATGCTCGGAAAGCCGCTCAGAATTGAGTAAGCAGCGCGGGTATTTTGGATTAGAGGGTTCTAGAGTGTATGTTCCAGAGAATATCAGAGTTTTTGCAATGAAAATAATGTAAATTTTGAGAGATTTTAGTTTTTTTTGCAAAAATCCTAAATAAACTGCTCAACAAAATAATCGTTTCGAGGCCAAGTTTGCCCTAACTTTGAAAGTTGATTATTGTGAGCGATTTGATTTTCTAGTCAAATTGTTTTTCAGTCGGTAGGTGTTTTTGAAAAAGTTTAGTGCCGCATATAAAGTTTGTTTAGTTCTTACAGGGTGGAAAATAAACCCATACGAAATTTCTAAAATTCCGATTTAAAATTGAATTTTTTTTTGCATTTGAAGATAAATTGCATTAAGATAGCCCTCGCAGCTCGAAACGATTTTCCAATTTTTCGCGTATGTCTTTTACCTACAGGGTGAGCTGAACATTGTTTTCCCGATATATCGAGCTCATGTTGAAACTAAAACTTATACTGTATTAGATAAAATCAGGAAATTTGGGAAAATTTTAAATTTTATTTTTAATTCCATCTAATTTTCTATAATCTAATTGTAACTCCTATACTCGAAAGTACCAAAATCTCCCAAGTCTCCAGAATCCAAAAGCGTATTTGTAATTTATTTTCTTTAATTTTCAAGCAATCCTTTCCATGAAATAATGTTAAATTACTCTCAAATTAGTATTATATTATTAATAAACATAAGATTTTACTTATATAAGCAACTGTTTATAAAGACTCAAACTTCAAAATTTTACATGCGTGTTTTTTGAGCTTAATGCACCGTTTTTTCCTGCAAATCGCCTCAATAACAGGGTGTTTGAGTATATTGACCGTCGAGTCAACATCAAAACTGCAAAAACATCCCTCAAATTGAGCCAAAATTGTCGTTTAATTCAGATCAGAAGGATCTAGAGTCTTGTACTGAGCTGGTTGGATTCCGCATATTCATATGCACATTAATTAAATATTAACTTGATGGGATTCCCACCTTCAAAGGTAAAGAACCGCTTAACTTAAGTTAGATGTAATAGCGATGATCTGAACGTATTTAATACGTTTCGAATTGATTTTCCACTTAAATCTTTTCAGCCCAAATCGATTAGTTATAATCAAGCTGCAGAAAGCCTCAAGTGGAGAGACGTTCAAAATAACCACTTTTACCTGCAAAAATACCCACACATAACATACACAAACACTCAGGTTTAAAATTTTCTGGACCTATTAAGAACAGTTGTTTATTTTTTTACTTTTGCATCTTAAAATCAGAAGCGTTTTTCTTTATTTGTATGATTAGTTAATCCCTCAAAAGTCCCTTAACTCATATATATTTTACGCATTCTTACTATTGATTATGCGGTCATACGTCACGTTCATTCATCATTAATCACTTTCTGAAGAACATTGATGTATGGGTAATTCCGGATTAAAACAGGTATTCGCTACTCATTTGAATTGACCATCAAAGAGTGGATTTACCAGAACTTCCTCAAAGTGGTACCGGTGTAGAATTCCCCCGTTAAGCTTAATCAGTCATCCCCTCCATTGGGCGGCACTTTGAATCTGCAGTATTTACCTTAAACGCAAAATCTTTTGCATTATTTAGTTTTGAGTTGACGGTAATTCAGCAAAATTTTGCTGAATCAAAGAAGAAAAAACAATACGATTAATTGGTGCTTCAGTAGTTAGGAGGTTGAGTGTTTTTTTGGGATTTTCTCAGCTGGTAAGCTCTTAGGAAACAAATTAAATTCTACATAGAAATCTCTTAAGAGTTTTGACTATTTTTTATAAAATATTGAAACAGTATTTGGTCTTAAATCCGTCTTCTATTTATCTTCATACATAGAAATCTCTAAGAATTTTTACTGTTTTTTGTAAAATTTGAAAATAAATGTTAAGTCCATTCGGCTTTTATTTATTTTCAGTTTATGAAGTCAGTAAACTTTGGTAAATTGCCTGGTTTTTATGCAACAACTTTATTGAGAAATAGGCACAATTATTCTAATTGTTTTCTTTATCAAGCTTCTTGCATGTATTTGCGGCTTTTTGTGATATTCATATCAGTAGGGATTACAAACATGTTTCACAAGTTGAAATGAAATTGCTATTGCTAATAATTAAGTCTGCAAAATGAGAAACTATATACAATCTAAGTTTACTGTTTAAAACATTAACGCTAAATTAAAAATATTTTATTATAATATAAAGTAATAAAATTGTCTCTGAGTAGCTGCAATATAATAGAAAGGGTGCCATGGAGCGAAAAAAACGTATTGCTTAATTTCTGCATATGCAAAAATTATTTTCTAGTTAACTTTTTTTTAAATTTATTTTTACACCCAAACTTTTGTGAATTCTAGCATTGAACTGATTTACGAAAATAAAAATATTATAAAAACTAATAAAGAATTGTAAAAATTATTTTCTCAGTAACGGTAAGAGATAGCTCACTCTGCACCTTTTTTCAGCTTTTAGTGCAAGAAATGGACCTTCTATTTCGTTCTTCTAAATTTTCAAATATCAAATAATTCAATTGACTAAAACTCATTTTTCTAGTTGGAAACCATATATTTTTCTGCGTGGTTTGACACCAATAGACATACAAACTGAAAAAATTAAAATAAAAATTTCGAAGAAAGGTTTTCTTGAATCGATATGTTCGAAATTTGATAATTTGTTGAAAATTCTGCTGAACACCTAATGAAACGTTAAGAAAGCGAAGCTGAAGAAAGAATCAAATTGCTATTTCTTACCTTTTCCGAACAGTTAATTTTCAAATTACCCATAGCAAGGAATATTCTAGCAAAAAAAATTGCCGGTCAAGGATGCGGGAAAAGGATGCACAAAATTTCATGCATAATTCAGATAAGAAACGAAAGTTTTGTCTATACTAGGAAATATTTTTTGCATAGTGTTTTTTGTTTATCTGTAACCGTTTAGACGCAATTAAACTATTTCACACTAATGGAAGATTCTGTACATGATAATAAAGATAAACGTCCGGAAGAAATTCTCTTCCACCATAGCATAAATGCCTGAAAAACTATCCAGTTGAAAACCTATTTAATTTGAACATCATACAAAATTACGCCACATTTACCTGTGAAACAATCGCACACATTTTTCATTCATACTCAGTCGTAAATAAACATTCCGAAGAGAGAAACCTTCATATCTAAGGTTGCGAACATCACATGATAAATATAATAATTAAAACTAGATGAGTGTCAATCGATGGCAAAGTGTTTTGTAATAATGATTCTTGCAACATTTTCCTCGTGAATTATTTATTAATTTTATAGAAGCCTCTAACAGGTGCTTTACTAATTGACGCTTGCATTGTTGTTGCAAAATACACAAATTATGCTAAATTACTTAGTCGAAGTACTGACTGTTGGACGCTGCCATTTGTGAGAAGTTTAAGTTGTTTCTATTGTCCCGGATTATTCTTTAGTTGTTTTTTTTATACAGCTGGTTTTTTCTCCGGATTCATGGTCATTAATAAATGGTTGCGATACAAAATAAATCAATAGCAGGTTTAAACCGTTTAAACCGTCAATTTTTCTACAAGGATTCTTTTTTCAGTTTGTTCCTATTGATATTTGCTGTGTCACTTTATTTAAATGTTGGTTTCTCTCCTTTGTTTTACTTATTGGTATATGCAGGTTTTTGGCAATAATTTCCTATTTAACAGCGCGCTCCCTTAACAAGTATTTAACATTTAATTTCTTCACGAGAATCTTAGCACTTCCATCTGGAAGTGCAAAATCTGCTTGGACAGTACCTTTGAAGGATCCTCCTCCTCCTCATCAACTTTTCTTGAAACTGCATAGTTTTGAATTTAAAGTGTCAATAGTTTTCGAGTAATTTGAAATTTCCCAAAACGAGTTTTTCATGAATTTTATTAGGTACTTTACTTTTCGTCCTTAAAGACCTCGCTTTTCAATTTTTTCGGAATACAAAAATCGATTTGATTTGTTTTAGTCCTGAGAGCTCATTGAAAAAGTAGATCGATTTGGTCTTGCACATGTTTGGGAAACTGAAAATTGCTCTGAAATTACAGATTTTTCCAGTAAGTCTCAAGACGCCTTTTTTACTTAAAAACTAAATAGTTTCGGGAAAAGTTTACGAGGATGCCTCAAAGCTTCGGTATGAAAAGATTCGACCTACCAAAGTTTTTGAAAATCCACGATACCTCTTCCCGAAAATTTTTCTAATTGGGCATCTTTTGGAAATTTATATTATTGATTGCATTTTCCAGATGTCTGATAAATGTGTAAATAAAATTATGTTTCTCAGTACTTTGCTTCTTAGAGCCATTAGCTAAAAGAAACGATTCCATTTCGGAATTTCCCCACAACTACAATCGTATTGACCCGCAAAACTGGTAACTTTTGCTTAGATGACCGAACGAAAAAACCCAAAAAAATCTTCAGTTTTCCTACATATGGTTTCCGGATGATCTCAGCAGGTGGACAACGCTTGGTCATGATTTCTGCAGGAAAAACCCTATACGGGGCCGAAACCCAGCGAAGATTAAAATTGATGGCACTCTCAAAAAGCAAATGCAAATTTAATGAGCCGATTTAATCTCGGTTGGGTTCTGAACGGATTTACAACCAGCTTATCTCAAACGATAGCGGGATTTTGTGTAAATGATCATAATTTCGCACAACTATTAACAACAGCTCATTTGCTGGGTTTCTTGACATTGTTTAATGGGTTAGCTATTTTTAAATAGTTTTAATTCCCCCAGTGTATCGCAAATCGACCAAATACGTGTGATTATATGGCATTTTTTTGGTCAGGACACACGAGGCTGGGTAATTTTCTATTAACTGTATTAAATATGTACTTTACCGGATTCTCGGAAATAGTCTCGATGTTAAAAATAAACCTTTTTCTACTTAGCTTTTAATAGGTTTTCTGTACCTACTACAATCAATTATAGTCCTAAACTTTTTATTATTTCTCCGGTTGGAATAGTCAAGCGTTTTATTGCAATTTTAAATAAAAATCTTAAATTTAATAATATAATATTAAACAGCTTTGTTTCGATCGACTCAAACAACGAATTTTCCACTAGATAAAGTAAGAAAAAAATGTTTCAGATGCCATGTGGAAACATTTATGGCTTGTTGCGGTCGCATGCAATGCTGCTGTAGCCTTTGCAGGGATTAATGGTAGGTGTTTGTCTATTACTAATTATTATGCATTATTATTTATTGGACAATTTTCAGTAGCTGTAAACTATGCTAAAAGTGATGCGATGCGTTGCATTGTGATGGGCAAGGCTGTATCTAATGGCTCGTCAAGCCAGCCTTGAGAGAATCATACTTCATTGATTAAAAACATTTCAATTAGCATGTTCTTTCAACTATTTCAGTTCGATTTTGCTGGTGTAAATCAAATGTATCGCGTTTGTGAGTTTACGTTTACCGGAAAATTTTGGGACTTTTAGTAGTTAAGCCAACAAAAATTTGCGATTTTTTTCGCATTAAAAACGCCGAAATAAACGCACTTTAACAAAACTAGCCAGAATAACTGGAGAGTTGTTCGGGCTTTTAGGGGTTGTGAAAAAAATATTTGCATCTTCAGAGGTGCTAAAGCCACCTGTGATCTAAAAGCCCGAAAAACTGAAATTATCCTAAATCGTGATTTTTTGTTATTGTTCAAGGACTCCTGCTGGCATTGCAAGTGCAAAATCAAAACTCCTCCAGACTTTTTCTCGGATTAACAGAATTCTAACGCACTAGAAAAAAATTAAAAACATCATAAACTTTATTATCAAATGAGAGTATTGCTGGTAATTGAGTCCTGTTTTATAATATCTCGGTAAATCCGGGTAATAGTCATAAAAGCTCGACTTTACACCATTAGCATTCCATGCTAAAGTGAGTTGTGAAGGTCAGAACCTCGGAAAATGCCTATACCTTTCAATCAATTACATGTAGTATCATATTTGCATAGAATGATTAAGCCAGTTTTGTCACCGCAATTTTCTTTAAGGATCCATCCGCAATCCGCATCCGAGTCGAATCTAGTGCAGTTTTTTGAAATATTTTAATGAAATTTCTTCCCCTAAATGAGACCTTTCGTCTGTTGTTTCAGACGCGAATTCCTTTACTAAACAGTACACATACGAAGAAGATCCTCATCCATGTGCCCGCAAGTGCATCCATGATAAACCCATGACTTGTCATTATAATTTTGAAGTCGAAAATTACTACACTTTATCGAAAGCTTGTCACGATTGTTCTCGAAATCAATCGGACTGTTTTCGAGTGGATTGCGTCCCGGGGGATGGACATGAAAGGGGAGTGGTCACGGTAAACAGAAAAATTCCTGGACCCGCCATAGAGGTGAAAACGCCCCAAAAAACCCGCCTATGACACTAAAATGTAACACTCGGGATTTTTTTCAGGTGTGCCAGGATGATGAGATAGTCGTAGATGTGAAGAACCTGCTGATGTCCGAGGGGACAACAATCCATTGGCATGGACAGCATATGAGAGACACCCCGTATATGGATGGGGTTCCGTATGTGACTCAGTGTCCTATTTTGCCCAGAACCACGTTTAGGTACAGTTTTAAGGCGGCACAAGCAGGAACCCATTTTTGGCACTCGCATCTAGGTAAGTAAAAATCATAAAATAAATTAAGTTGAAATGTTTGGGTTGGATTGGAAGGCGCCGTTTCCATCGCGCAATGGCAACTAATCCTAAAGCGTTTCTAATTTTTGCTTGAATAATTCGT